AAGTCGACGGTGTGATGGGTTGGCGGGATGAGGGAGGAGCGGGCCTCTGCGTCGGCGGAGTAGGCGAACATGAGGTAGCTGAGGAGGCCACGGGGGCTGGCTGCCTGCATGAAGGTGCCGTCGGTGATGTAGCTCGCCTGCTGGAGGAAGGTTGCGTCGCCGGAGAGGGCGAGGGTGTCGATAGGGATCTGGGAGTGGGCGGCGGCGAAGACGGCGTTCATGGTGGAGATGTACTGTACGGGCTCCGAGTCGGAGACGGAGAGGATGAAGATCCGGGCGCGGAGGCGACTGAGGGCGGAGGAGGTCGGGCGGGCGGCGTCGGGGGCTTTGTTGGTCTCGTTGAGGGAGAGGGAGGTCTTGTTGATGTGGGTGAGGGCGAGGGTGAGGGCGCCCGAGAGCTGGGTCGTCGTACAGGCCAGGTCGGCCTCGGTGGTTGCGTCGACGAGCTGGCGCATCCCGGCCATGACGGCGGCCTCGATCTGAGCGAACTGGGGGAACTTGTTGGCCGAGGACTGGTTTGGCGTAGGCGCAAAGGAGTCGACGCCCGTCATTGAGACATCTTCAGAGTTTGCGGCGCCGTTTGTGGCGGCGCCGGGCTTTGAGGGGTATAGCCATACGGCGCGGTTGCTGTGAGAGGCAATGATGGCTACCTGATTCGCATTGCTGAAGGCGAGGTGGGCGTTGACGAAGACGAGGATGTTGGCGATGGCCTTTGAGAGTGGGAGGATATCGTTCAGGGCGGCCCAGGCTCGAGGGTTCGTGTCGATGACGATGGAAAGGAGGGAAGGAGTGGCCTCGTGCGAGGAGACCTCGTAGTGGTCAGAGGCGTCGACGGCGTTCATGGCGGAGGAGGAAGAGGATGCGGTAGTCGACGATGGCCTCTAAGGGCGGCGGGCGCCTGGTCGCGAGAGAGTGTCACGGGCGGAGCATCTGCGGTTTGGCTGTAGGAGGTGTTGAAAGTCTGTGGGTTGTATTGACTATTCAGGGACCTCGTTCGATTCGGACCCCGTCCGATCCTACGTCCTTGAGGCCAAGCGGGTAGAATTGATCTCTTGGCGCAGTATCATTCACGAAAAGACAGGGCGAACTGCTTTTTTTTGCCCTTCTGTCTTGCAGGTAGGGGTTTGTGTGAGGTGTGGTGATGCAACGAAGCTAGCTTTCATCCAGAAATATCCGTAACCCATGTGCCCCGGGCTTCAAGTTGGCCTGTGCTCCGACACACTGGACGGCAGGGAAACCTACCAAAGTTGATTGGACGGCACAGGACCGGGGACGACGGGGAAGAGGCTCCGAAGGAGGACGACAGCCAGCAGCAACTTCAGGCGCGCTCCTGACGTGGGGGCGCGTTGAGTGACAGGGACGATCGTCGCGCACCCGCTCGAGGGAGCTGCCACCTTAGGTTCTTTCATTTTGATGAGGTAAGCTTAAAGACAGCAGGCAATGGAAGAGGGTGGGAGCACCTGGCCGTGCTTGCCAATCTGTGAAGTACATTCAAGCAATCCCGCCCCGCTCCTCCCCTGTAACGGGGACTCATTGTTCCCTCTAAATCTACCCTATTGGGATGTACCTGTCTCGAGCATGACGTAGGTAGGTACTATCTGTGCTGTACCTATTCATGAAGCCAAGAGACGTGGGGAGACCCAGTCTGTCGACCTTATGCGCAGCGGGCGGTGTAAGTGTTGGGTTTTCCAATGGTTGAGACTTGAGAGAGGGAGTCTTTCTGGAAGTCAGTCGTCAGTCTTGGAGACCGGGCGGGCAGGGTGCGCTGTGTGAGGGGTGTGGTCTGCTACAAATGGTAGCCAAGGAGGGGCACCCGTGGCACCTAAAAAAAGACGGGAGCACCGTGGATTGCAACAGTCAGCCCGTCCGTTGTAGCAGAAGCTGACGGTTGAACAGAAACAGCCCAGCGGTGGTTCCATTCCATTGTCAGTCCTTACTCCTTGGTACTTGGACTTACCGGGACGGGCTGGGTTTCTGGGTGGCACGGCGATACTGAATAAGGCGTCCAAGGTAAGCCCGAGAGAGGTCCCGTATGAAATCGCGACGACTCGAGTACGTACCGTACCTTATTCCCCCCTCCGTGGGTACGGATAGGTAGGTAGGTAGGTAGGTACCAGTGCCAGCAACTACGTGCCTCACCTCATACTTTTTCCTGCTGGACTGCCACTGCCCATCAACGCGCGCTCGCCCACTGACCAGTGACAAGTCTCACTTGTGAAACCTCTTTGGGGTTGTCTGGTGCCATCCATTTCTTATCTCAGCAATCAACCCTACCTTACCTGAACAGATCCTCCTCCACGGCCACCTCACGCCTCTGTCATCGCCGGACCTTGCCTTGTGACCAACGCATCGCACAGTCCGCTGTCGCCGCCGCCGCCCTAACCACCGTAGCAAGGTACCTACTTATATCAACCGTTCCGCCCCGTTTTGTTCTAGGCTTTTTCTGTCCGTCCCAGGTCTGTCCGTTCCTCACTCACTCAACAACATACCTTGACGTGGTACCAAAGTATACATTATCTCAGCTTCGCTCAACTGCTTTCCAGCCTGAGCGAACAACATCGACAATGGCCGCCGTCACCCAAGCTTCCGCTCCCACCACGGCGCCTCCGAGAGAGGATGAGACCCTCCTCGTTCTTGCGCGATTAATGGAGGGCGGCCAGGAGGATGATGAAACCATTCGCGACCTCGACCAGCTCACCAAGCTGTTGAATGAGGACCTTCAGCTCATCCAGGCCAAGACCGGCGCCCCCACGATATGCAAACTCATCGATGGCGATTGCGTCGACACCATTTTGACATATCTTGACATGAGACAACCCGAGATTGTTCGTGCACACGCCGTTATCGCTACATCCGCCTATCTCAAGGCCGCCGGCGACGATGGTGCTAAGAAGCTCTCTAACTTCTTCTTTGACAAGATCAAGAGGGGCACCTATGACGACTATATCGTCGCCTTTTGTGTTGCTGCTTCCACGTTCCCGGTCGTTCCTGACCTTACATCAGAGCTGTTCCTCAGCGAAGGCTTCTTGAGCTCCCTCGGCCCGTTGATGAGACGGAAGTGGAAGAGCCGCAAGGTCGAGACTGCCTGCTTGGAGATGCTTAACGCCGCATGCATGAACTCGCAGTGCCGTGATGCAGTGAACAAGTACTGCACTGAGTGGCTGGAGGAGGTTGTCGATCAGGACCCCGAGGAGATTGCCAAGGAGATGTCACAGGACCCGGAGTACTCTATCAAGGAGGGCTCTGTCGCCATGCGCAAGCATTCGGAGCAGGTTCAAAACTTGGCAGCAGTCATCCTGGCGAAATTGAGGGTATGGTATTCATCAACAAACGGACATGAAGCCGTCCAATCACAGATCTGACTGACTTCAGAACGAAGGCAGTGCCCACGGCGTCGGCGCTGAATGAGGACGGGCAAGGGAAGATATCACCTGCAATCACAACCATCGAGGAGCTTTCAACGAGGTTCACCTCCATGCTCCTCAGCGAAGACGACCATGGACACCAACATTCTATCGAAGGGCTGGCCTACGCATCGATCCGGCCAACCATCAAGGAAAAGCTGGCGGGGAATGCGGATTTCCTGAAGAAACTTGTCAAGACGCTGGCCGACGCCCCGGCGAAGTCGCCCGTGACGTACGGAGCGCTTAGTATCCTGGTGAATCTCACCAGATACCAGCCCAACTTGTCGGAGGAGGAAAAGAAGATGAACCAGCTCAAGGCTTACGCCGCCGCTGCTGGGAAGTCTGCCGGGCCCGATCCACTCAACGACAATGACCATGTTGCAGAACGATGCCGGTGCGTCTTTGAGGCCGGGGTCACTCCGGTTCTAGTAACCCACAGCAAGGGTGGTTCAGCCGCGTCACTATCACTCACTGTCGCTATCATTTACTCTCTTTCAGTTACGACATCTTTGCGTGGCAAGCTTGCTCAGCAAGGCGCCGTCAAGCTTCTCTTGGCTGCATGGGCTTTGCTCCCGGAGTCCGAAGCCGCGGGTCGCCGCACCGCTGCGCAAGCTCTAGCACGCATTCTCATCAGCACGAATCCGGCTCTTGTTTTCGGCGGCAGTCGTTCTAACCCGCAAAGCTCCGCGATCCGCCCCCTCATTTCTATCATTCCCACAGACCCAGTTGCTGAGCATCGCGACCTTCTTCCAACGTTCGAGGCGCTGATGGCGCTCACCAACCTCGCGTCAACCGATGACCTCGATACTAGACGAGCCATTATCAGGGTAGCGTGGCCGCAAATCGAAGACCAACTGCTTTCCTCGAATCCCCGCGTGTCAAAGGCCGCTGTCGAGCTCATTTGCAACCTCGTACAGGCCGTGGAAGGTCTGGCGCTGTACGCCGACGGCAGCCCAGCAGCAAAGGGTCGTTTACACATTCTACTCGCCTTGGCGGACGCCGAGGACGAGGGCACGCGCAGCGCAGCAGGTGGTGCTCTAGCAGCTCTCACGGGCCACGAGAACGTCGTCCAAGCCATTGTGGAACGTGAGCGGGGTGTCAATGTCATCCTCGACATGTGCGCTGACGACAATGAGGACTTGCGGCACCGCGCTGGCTTCATCATTTACAATATGGTGGCTGCCGAGGGTACCCCGGGGGCCAATGCGCGGAAGAAGATTATTGAAGAGGGCGGTCTCGAGGGGCTCAAGGAGGCCGCTAAGAAGAGTCGGCGGGCGGAGGTGGTTGAGGTCTTGGTGCAGGCCTTGAAGATTCTGCTAGAGGACAATCGGACATTGGAGGGCTGAAAGACCTGGTCTCCTTTTTTTTTTTTTTGTACAGACAGAACCTCATACAAGAGTAGACAGAACAAGAGGATCACGAAATAAAACGGTCAAGGACTCGGAAAACACGCTTGAGAGAATGGTCCCATGCCACGTCTACACTCTGGTGGCTGTTGCTTTTTTGAATTAGTAGACCAATGCTGGTATCACAAACTTTTCTGTACTCTCCCTGATGTAATATCCCAACCTATCCCAATGCAATGTAGGTAGGTAATCAAGCACTCTTCTCAACCCTGTTCAACACAGCCACACCCTCGACATGTCCCGTCTGCGGGAAGAAGTCAAAGCCCACAATACTCTCAATCTCGTACTTTGTCCCATCCCCGCCGTCGCCACGCACCAGCACGCCCACATCGCGCGCCTGCGTGTGAACGTTGCAACTCACGTACACGACCCGCCTCGGCCCAAACGCCAACAACTGGCTCAGGAAATCGTTATCGCAACCCTTACGCGGGGGGTCAATGACGACGACGGTCTCGTCGGCCGGGTACGTGACCTGCTTAAACAGCTGCGGCGCATCAGCAGCGAGGAAGTTACACTGCGACTCGGGGAGGTTATTGAGGCGGGCGTTTTTGCGGGCACATTCGATGGAGTCCTTTGCGATGTCGATGCCTGTGCTGCCGGTAAACAGGGAGGCAAGGGTGATTGTGAAGAGGCCGGAGCCGGAGTAGGCGTCGATGAGGTACTTTATGCGGTCGCGGTTGGGGCCGGCGGGTGGCATGACGTGGTCGCGGATGTACTGGGTGAATTTGGGGAGGATGGAGTTGTTATTTTGGAAAAAGGAGTTTGCGGGGTTGGTGAAGAGGTAGGTGTCGATGTATTCGCTTGACATTGCGCCTGTGGCGGAGAGGCAGGTTTTGATGTCTACGTGGGTGTCTGTCTCAATGCGGACTGCGTCGGAGGGGGTTTCTGCGGGAGGTTGTTCTTCTTCCTTTGCTGGTGCCTGCTCTGTTGTGGTTGTTTCTTCTGTGGCTGTGGTGGTGGCACCGTTGCTGATGACCTTCTTTGGGTAGCGTTTTGTGCTCTCGCGGAGGAGGATCGTGGCGCCCTTTGTAAAGTTGCCAAAGTCTCTGGCGATGCGCTCACGCTCGCGCTTCATACCCAAACGAACGGCCTCGGTTCCAATGGGGCAGTCCTCGATATCCAGAACATGACGGCGGCCCTTGACATTGAATCCGATATCGGGGGCCTTGCTCAACGCCTGCTTGGGCTTATTCCTCTTGTGGTGACCAGGAGGGCCGTCAAAGTGCGGCGTGAGCTTGGTGCGGTACCCATACTGAAGCGGGCTACCAATGGTATCCCGGATCGAGGGGACCAGCTCGGGGTTCAAGTTGGAGAAGTTCTTGTACGCCTTGTCGACAATGGAGCGCTTGTGCGTGAGCTGGGTGTCGTAGTCGAGCATCTGGAACTGGCAGCCGGAGCACTGGGAAAAGTACTTGCAGTTGACGCGGGCGTCGTCGCGGAGGGGGCCCGCCTTGACGACGGAGATGAAGTCGGCTACTGAGTAGGACTCCTCGCGGACGTGTCTAATGACCTTTGCCTTTGCGACGTCGCCGGGTGCGACAAAGGGGACAACGTAGACTTGTGTCGAGGTCGAGCCCAGCTGGAAGCCGAGGCCGTCTCCCGTTGAGGAGATTGCATGGACTTCAACTTCGATTTCGGTGAAGGTTTCCGGGAGGGATTCCGAGGGCGCTTGGGTCTCGGTCTGCGTTTCTCTGTTCTCTGACCCGTCCTTCACCTCCTCGCCTTCTGCTGCTGCTACTGCTGGTGCCGGCGCCGGTGCATCGGGGAGTGATTCCTTGCGTAACGCGATGAGGGCTTGCACGTCGAACGCCAGAACCTCTTCGGACGACCCCTCGGTGATGTTCCTCTCACGCTTCGACTTGCGCTGCTTGTCCTTGCCCCTTCCGCCTCCTTGGCCGCCCTGGAACGAACGCTTGTTGCCATTGGGTTTGTTGCCGCCGTTCTGCCATTTTCTTTGACCCTGTTCCTGGCCCTGACCTTGGTGAGATGACTCTCCTGTAGTTGTTGCTGCTGCTGCTGGCTTTGGAGGGAGCCCTTGTGGTGCCGCTGCCGCCGCCTGAGGCGCCTCTGTTGTTGACGACATAATGACCCTGCGAATAAGTGGCCGGTAAGCTGCTGCTGGCGCCGAGCTTGATGCCCGGCTGAGTGTGAGGGCGTTGAGAGCCGGACGAAGTGAAGATGAAGTGAGTCTCGGAAGGAGCCGCAGGGCCAAACCCATTGAATGCCTCAAGCCAATGTTGGGAAGACACCAATTGCAAGACAGGATGACCAGTTATGAGTATCGTATCACCGTATAGCTTGAAGGTACATGGATTTAGTGTAAGATGAAAGTATGAGAGCCCAACACTTGAAGTTGAAGCTTGTGACATGCGACCTGTGAAAAAAAGTTGTCGGCCGTCTGAAGGTTGCTGAGAATTACTTAATTCGCCCGTCGCTGATTGGCGTCCCTGGGACGCTGGGTGGGGCCGCAGCAAGCATGACTGCTATCATGCGGCACACCAAGTGCCACCGCACCCTAAGGTACCTTATCCGTACTGCCATTGAATGCGTATTGCTATGTAGGTACATTACGGCCCACACATCGGAACCCCAGTTCTCGCTTATCAGTTGTGCCTGCCGGATCTGGGACTGGGACCAAGTTGGTAATAGCGACTTGGTCTGTCGCAATCGCCGGGGACCCAGTAGTAATAAGTCATGGCCCTCCCCCGACTACGGCGTTTAATGCCTCCAGCTTACTCACAACACTCTCTCGTCTTGGTGATCTGTTGGGTATAGGGAACAGAAGCTTGTTTATCGAGGTTGATAAGAGACGCAACGCTGAGAGTTGCTTACCTCCCCCGACCATCCCTTCCGTTATCTCTTATCGGAGCTTCGGCCGTTGAGCACGCTGTGTCTCGGAGGTACCATCCCGTGTTGAAGTCCACAGACCGCCGCCCGGCCTTTCGAACCGTAACCAACTATCCAAAATGAGTGAGTTCATCCCATCCAGCAGAAGAGATGAGCATCTTTTGTAAGCCATGAAAAGAAACTGACTGAAAACAGAGACGTTTCCCAAGTCAATATGGCATTATTCAGCCTCTTTACTGCTGTTGACCGAATACCGCTTGGCTTCAGCCGCAGCGATACCGGAATTCATCTTTAACCCTCGCGCTGGGAACTCTGGTGCCGTTGCAAGTGAGTCTGTAGAATGCAGCAGGATCGGCCGTGATCTACTTGCGCAAGGCGTATGTTGTTTCTCTCCCCTTTACATAACCTCTCAGAAGAGAGTTACAAGGTTACACAAGACTGACCCTTATGCAGGGAAACGCCGTAGACGCACTCGTCGGTACGACTTTCTGCGTTGGAACTGTGGGAATGTACCACTCCGGCATCGGCGGCGGCGGCTTCGTCGTGATCAGAGACGCCGACGGGAACTACGAGTCTGTGGACTTTAGAGAGGCTGCGCCGGCTGCCGCCTTCCAGGATATGTACCAGGGCAACATCGCCGGCAGTGTCTATGGCGGCCTGGCCGTCGGTGTACCGAGCGAGGTTCGTGGGTTGGAGTACATCCACAAGAAGTACGGTGTAAGTGAACGGCTCGTAAGGAGGAGAGGATTTCGTTTTACTGACTTGATGACCTTGGAAGTCTTTATCCTGGAAGAGTGTCGTTACTCCAGCTGCGAGGTTGGCGACTGCGGGTTTCAGGGTATCTTCGGACTTGGTGCGATATATGGACGCAGCTATCAAGGGGCAGTGGAACTTCCTCGTCGAAGATCCAGTATGGGCTGAAGAGTTTGCTCCCAACGGTGAGTCTCGAATATCCCAAGAGTGTAAGTTAGTAGAGTGTAGTGAACTAACACTGACCAGGCACGCTCCTCCAACTCGGTGATACCATCTACCGCAAACGCTATGGAGCGTAAGACTGACTCTTTCTCACACATCTCCCCAAAAACTTCAAACTGACAAAACACACAGCACCCTCGCCAAGATTGCAGAAGAAGGCCCAGAAGCCTTCTACTCCGGCCCCATAGCAGAATCCATGATCGCCACAGTCCGCGCCACAAACGGCACCCTCACCCTCGAAGACCTCGCCTCCTACAAAGTCGTCACTCGCCCCTCCCTCTCCATAACCTACCGCGGCCACCGCCTCACCTCCGTCGGCTCCCCCGCCAGCGGCGCTGTATGCCTAAACACCCTCAAGATCATGGAGCAGTTCGACCCGGCCGAGTCCGCCGACACGAAGCTCGGCGTCCACCGCTTCGACGAGGCCATGCGCTTCGCCTACGGTGCTCGTTCCCTGCTCGGCGACCCGGATTTTGTGGAGGGAATCGGGCCGTTTGAGGATACGCTTATTGACGAAGCTACGGCCAAGGATATTCGTGGGAGGATCTTGGATAATCAGACGCAGCCGGTTGAAAGGTATGATCCGCAGGGCGTGTACTCGAGCGAAGGGTTCGGGACGTCGCACATTGTCACGGCGGATAAGTCTGGCATGGCCACCTCCCTGACCACGACCGTCAACCTCCTCTTCGGTGCTCAAATCATGGACCCGTTGTCCGGTGTAATCCTGTAAGGCCATTCCCTCTGTCTCCCCCCCTCAGCCCCTTTCCCATCATCCTTCTCCGTGAACTCACCCACTAACGACCCAAAAGCAACAACGAAATGAACGACTTCTCAATCCCAGGCGTCCGCAACGCCTTCGGCTTCGAACCCTCCCCCGCAAACTTCGTCCGCGCCAACAAACGCCCCCTCTCCTCCATCACCCCCGTCATCGTAGAACACCCAGACGGCACCCTCTACGTAACCGTCGGCGCGGCAGGCGGCTCCCGCATCATCAGCTCCACGGCCCAAGTCACCTGGCACGTTCTCGAGCACGGCCAGACCATGAAGCAGGCTCTCCGCGAGCCCCGCCTGCACGACCAGCTCATGCCCAACACTGTCACGTTCGAGTACGCCTTTGACAACGACACCGTCGCCAGCATGCTCGAAAAGGGCCACGACGTGATGTGGGTGCCTGAAGGCCGGAGCGCCGTGCAGGGCATCATCCTTGAGGAAGGCGTGTTTGAGGCCGCGAGCGAGCCGCGGCAGAAGAACAGTGGCGCGTTTGTGGTTTAGATGATTTAGATGATAAATCACGCTTACGCTTACGTTAGACGATGAGATTTATGTGCAACATAAGCCAGGTTTATTGAGGTTATCTGAAGGAAAGGGGTATCCTCGAGTCTATCAGAGTACATATAGAAATACAAGCAAGAGTCACAAATGAACCTAGGGCGTCATGGCCACCAACTTCTCCATCTGGGCGATCCACTTCTCGTCGAACTCGCTCTCGGTGAAGCGCTTGGCCGACTGGCGTGCGCGGAGGCGAACGGGGAGCGGATCCTTAATGGAGAGGGCCTTTTCGTAGCCCTCAGCGAACTCCTTCACATTTGTAGCGTGGAAACCTAGAAGCTGGTTAGTCTTCATCTTCATCGTCCAAGTCACGTATAACTCACCAGTGGGCTGTCCGTCAATCTCAATGACGATATCCAGCTTGGGTCCACCGCTGGCGTGGACAACGGAAATCAAACCGGCAGCTTGGTACTCGACGACACCAATGCCAAAGTGCTCGTTCCACATGCCATTGACACCGACAGAAGCTCTCTGCAGCCAGTCCAGAATCTCGGGCCACGAAGCGTCTAGGTGGAACTCGACGCGGTCCTTAATGCCGAGCTCATTCACCAGAAGGCGCAATGTATACACCCGCTTGGAATCATGGTCGTCTCTGACACTACCAATGAGGACCAACTTCGCCTCCTTGGCAGCTTCGGACTTGGTGTTGAGGAAGTCGGCGAAAGCTTGGATAACCAGGGTATGGTTCTTCTCGGGGCGGAACTGGGCAATGTAGACCAAAGCCTGCTCTCGCTTCTTCTCACTGGCCTCAGAAACCTCAACTGCCTCTTCGAGCTCTTCAACAGCGCAAGGAGGGAAGTTGACAGCGATAGGGTTATTTCTCCCCTTGGCCTGGCGGTAGGGGCCCCAGAGTTTCTGCACATGACCCTGGGTCCAAGTCGAGTTTGTCATGACAATGTCGACGGTAGATCCTACCCGGGAGTACAGGGCTGCAAACATCTTCCAGTAGAACTTCTTGACCTTGCCTCGGATACCGACGCCCTTACCGGCGTTGACGCCCTGGCTTCCAGTCTCGGCCTTGGGGTCCAGTGATTCCAGCATGTCAGTTGAGATTGTGGGGTAGTGGACGTAGGCGCAGGTAGGAACTCTGCGGAAGAGCAACTTGCAAAAACCCAGAGACAAGGCATAACCCATAGTATCGATGAAGATGTCGGGGACAAGGAGTTGGAAGGCATCCCATGCCAACACTACAGATCCAATCGACTGTCCAAGGAGGGTGAAGTGGGGCCATGTCGAGGCCAGGACGAGGTGTCTTGTGCTGACGTATAGGAAGTTGATGGTCGGGGGATGCAGGTCGATGTTGAACCGGGTCTGAGACATGCTGTTAGTATGAGGAAAGAGGGGTTCTGTGGTGGGAAACAAACCTTGACACGCTCGAGCATGGCCTGCTTGTTCACTTCATGGTCGCCAGTGTATACAACACAGAGTGCATTGGGGTATCTCTCTTGTGTGGTCTTGATCGCAGCCCAGAGGACTCTCTCTCCTCCTCCACCAGCGTTACTTTTGCTGTTAGTGATTGTCTTTTGGCGACTTCCACAAGTTAGACATACCAGAAGGGGTGGAAGAAGCCAACGACTCCAGTCCATTCTGAGTCCTTCTTTTCAGAGCTTGCCGAAGCTTGTGCCTGCACATTGTTCTTCCCGCTGCTGGTGCTCTTTTGGGAGTTCTGGAATGACTGTTGCTCAGCAGTCTTGAGCTCCAGGAGCTGTGCCCTCCTTCCCTCTGTCTTCTTCCGTAGGTACCATCCCAGCAGGGAACCAATGCCTTTCATCAGCAGAGGAAACATGATGTAGGTCGCGATCGGAGTAAAAGCAATGATCGGCACAACGACGTAGGCTAGGGTCCAGGGATCGAGGCCGAAAGAGAAGGGCGTCTGCCCAGACGGCGCTGAGCAGGTTTCGGGCATCGGGTGTGTAGGGATCGCAAGATTGGTAGGAGTAGGTGTTGTTCTTGTTTCGTCAGACTCGAAGACCGGCGGTGGTGTCGAGGTGGAAAAAAGAGGGCGATTCGAAGCCGAAGGGGGCGTCGGTCAAGTCCAGCTTCAGCATTCCCCGTTGACGTCGTGGGATGCTGTGGTGAGGTAGGGGACTCGCAAACTGGCCAGGTTGTACTGCAAGCTAGGAAATGGGGCGGGGGAAGCTGCAGCGGACAACGGTACGAATACAGTGGGTAGTCGACCCCCACCTCTAAAGGGTCCAGGTCTTTTCCGGCCCCGGCGAGCTGGGAGTGAGGTGCGCTGACTTGTGACGCGCTGCCCGGGAAGGTGGACTCTGCCGCCTCTCTCAGTGCTCACCTACCGCCCTGGCTGTAGATCCGCTTAAGCCGCGCCCGTTGGATCAAGGTGGCCCGTGCACCAGCCCATCGGCGCTGCTCTCAATTGACCACTGAACTTTAAGCGTCAACTCACAGGTATCTTCATCCGTACTCATTCTTCCAAGATACTCACGATCAGCTATTGACAAAATCCAGCCTCAGCTCTTTGACGACCCTTCGCCAGCCCGACTCACTCGTTTTACTGGGTCATTGTCTTGCACCGCAAGGTCTCGAAGAAAGTGTACCCTCTCATGCCCTCTGATGAACATATAAGCATCTCATCATGGCTTCCCTGAGAGCGGCGCGTTGCGCCATCACGCCTGGTTTGCGCCAATCCGTCGGTTTCTCGTCAGCAAGGCCACTCACTGCCTCCCTCCGGCCACAACTTACCTCGAGAATGGCACGATCACCTCAAAAGATAATCGGTGTCAGAAACTTCAGTCTAGGCGGGTTTGTCAACAGCAGCGTTGAAGCTACCTCGCAAGCCATTGTGTCGCTGCACTCGATGAATGCAACGGGAAATTGGACAGGCACCATCGTGTTCTCGGCCTTGCTCATCGCCTTATGCAGAGCGCCGCTTCAGTACTACGCTAGACGCATCATTCAAGAACAGGGGGTTATCGCACCCTTTATAAGCGCCTGGAACTGGGAACTCAACGGAACCCGTCTCTCAAAAGCTATACAACTAGCCCAGATCCGGAAACGAATGCTCAAGGAACGAGGGTGCCAGAACTGGAAGACTTGGGCCCCGGCACTCGGCATGCCCATGTGGTATCTCATGTCCGAATCCTTAAGGCGTCTCTGCGGCGCCAACGGCGGAGTTCTTTCCTTGCTCACTGGCAACTACAAGAATCAAGAGGCTTCAACTGATGTCGCCCCAGCTCCCGTATCGGAACAAGCATCAACAGCAGTATCGTCGTCCACCGATGCTGTATCTAGCAGCCTGGATTCTATAAGTTCTGTTGCGGAAGGCATGTCCAATGGCGGCCTGCTATGGTTTACCGACCTCACGGTAGCCGATCCAACAATATTGTTGCCTGCTATGCTAATGGGCACTCTGGGCTGGTCGTTTTTCCCTCGAGGCGAAATGAGGAAGCTCGTTTTCAACCTTTCATCGTCTGAGCAATACATGCCTCCCGGTATGAAATGGCGAGTTCGTTTCCAGAGAGGTCTACTACTCACGGCCATCCTCATCCCCGCACTTTGTGTCAACTTGCCAGCAGGCATATTTGTCTACTGGATTTCCTCAATGTTCTTCTCCCAGATCTCTTCCAAGATTATGGAAAGAGTCTTCGGCAAATACGTCCCTTGGAAGCCTTCCCCCCGCAGCGAGCGCTTTCACTTGCGGGGCTGATAGTCTGGAGGAGAAGAAGCGATGGCAATTATAGAGGAAGAAGACACACCGTCTCAGATTATATCCTAGAGTTGTACTTGAGCCCTGATGTACAATATTTGCGACACGCCACCAAAACGCCAATGTAGAAAGAGCAATCAAACAAAGAAACCGCCAGTAAGGTACCCCATGCCGTGCTAGTCCAGTACAATCGCGAGAATGATAATAGTGAGGATGACTGCCAGGATGAGCATCAGGCAGCACCCCTTGTTGCGAGCTGCCTTTTGGTGTCTCGCTGCCTGGCGGAGCTCTATTTGAGCGCCCCGGGTATCGTCCCGCACATCTTCCACGTTATCCGCGATAGAGGTAAGCTGCTCGCCTTGCTCGGTCACAATCTGAGCCACCTGTCTGAATAAGACGTTGAGATCGCCAACGCCCTGTTCGATATTACGGATCTCCTCTTCACGCTCGACAATGAGCGCTTCCTGGAAGTCCACTTCGTCCTGTGATGCCAGACGACTGACCTCCTGCTGCTGTTGAAGCTCGAGACGCTCCTCGGATCCAGCCGCCGCGTCTGCTCCCTCGCCTTCAGTCGCCGCGCGCGCAGCTGTGACGGATGCTCGTTGTTTCTCGAGTGCTTTGCGCTGGATATCCTGGAACTCTTGCAGGACGTTCTGGAAGTCGGTCGAGATTCTGGATTGGTCGTACTTTTGTTGTTTCTGGCGCACATTTGATCAGTATGGCAGTATGGAACTATGCGTAAGTTGTATGTAGAGGTACAAACCGTCAGATCGTCCCACGTCTGTAGCTTCTTGACGCCATCTCCAATCTCCTTGCACAGGTCGCGGGTCTTCTCCAGGTGATCGTGGACTCGTTCTCTAACACGGGGGGTGTCGCGCTTCGTTCCAAGGATGTTTACATCGGTGGTCAGCTGCTGAATGTTGCGCCGCAGGTTGAAGATCTTGTTGGTCAACTGGGACTGAAGCTGCTTGAACTCGGGATCGTCGGTGTATCCGCCTTGACGACCCGATCGGCCGGCTTCGAGCGAAGATAGCTGGTCGTACGACATGATTGCGATGTCGAGGGCAAAGTATTCACAAATGAAGGGTACTAAAGGAACGGCGCCGTTTCGATTTACGGATGGTTTTATTTGACCAGTAAGTATCAGTCGGGATGTCTGTGGAAGATAGACTCGTAACGATGGTCAGGAACCTGCATGTCGTCGTCGGCTGTGGCTGCAACACTACGTAACAGCGCCACCTTCCGTCCAATCAGCCGCCGTTCGCAATAGTGGTGCCTGATTGTGTTATCTCCACGTGACACCGGTGGCTCAGTCCGTTTCCAGGGCGGGTCCCCTGCTGTTCGTCAAGCTTGGGCAAGGAGGAGCTGCATGTTGTTGCACTGGAGATTTTTACATTATTTACTTCCAGATCCCGGCCACGGCACAAGTCCAAGTGCAGCCTCGCCAAACCTTACCCTCCAAAACATTCGGTCCCGATGACCATGCACCATCAGCATGGCACCGGCAACAGTCAGAAGGGCTCCGTATAAGGACTTTCTGCAGCCTGCGCTGCATAGGCGATTTTCTTCTACAGCTACTATTTTGCTTGCCATTTCTTATTTGCAGGCCATCCTTCTCTCGGGTTGGAGCTCTTGTGAGTGGTGGTCGTTTACGATGCAAGCTCTCAGAGCTTTGCGGCTAACTCGTGTTTTGTAGACTTTTGGTCTTGGTTCCCCATTGGCCCCGCGGGCTTCCGAACGTTGTTCCTATTCACCTGCGGTCTCTCGATCTTGATCCTGCGTATTGCCCAGTATCACGTCGGCGCCCGCGCCTCCAACTCGACCTTCCACGCGTTCGCGCAGTTCTTCTTTAGCATCCACACCCTCGAGGCTTTCCTCTTCTACGGCTTCTCGAGCGCGCTATTCAGCCATGTTTACCTGTGGGCCCTGCCGGAGAGCGCCAACTTGGGATGGGTCACATACTACAGCGGGGACCGCGCCCGTGTGAACGAGAGGACGTTGATCTTCTTCTGCTACATGGCCGTCAGCGCCGCTGTTCAGTCGATTTTCCACTTCTACCAGGACCAAGACAAGCTTGTCATCGATGTTGCGCGGTCTGAGGGAGGCGAAGTCAAGGTCTCTGGGGATGCCTCGCTGAATAAGGTCTTAGGCGAAGTCCCCGCCATCCTCATCCAGTCTGGCGTGAGGAGTATCAGTATCACTATTGTTGCTGGTGTGGTGTACTTTATGGTCTTGCGATCGTTCTTTTGGGGCTGGGCTTTGTTCTTCCTGCGACCCTTCTACAACCTTCCGAAAACAAATATGCTTCCACCTCAGTGGCCCGGAGACATCTACTTGATGTATAGATGCGCTGTTGCGGGCTTTCTGATCACCGCCATCTGGAAGACAGCAAACCATGCCTTCTCGACGTTCATGGTTAAGGCGCCGCTCAAGAACGGCAAGCCTCTCACGAGCGAATCCAAGGATCCAAACGGCAGCCTTCTCAATGGTCTTAAGAGCAAGAAGGACTCCGTGCGAGTTAGTACACGTTGAAGGACATAGGCCGTTTCTCAAGCTAACAGTGGTAGTGCTTTGCCCTCTGGGAATTGGCATACATTGCTCGCAATGAAGAAAGCAGACGCAAGGCCATCTTCATGGATATCGACCGGAAAGATGGTTCTACGTGGTCTCAAATTTTCGTTTACTGTCTTACTACCATCAAGAATATCGAACAAAGAATCGATCAGTACGGGAAGCCCGCGGTTGTGCTGGCTGCCCCAGCGCCGACTGTGGAGGTTCGAGCTCGGTCTTCAGCGCCACTAAAGGAGGATCCTATCTTCACCAGCAAGCCCGCAAACAAGACGATGCGCGGAGAGCTGGAAAAGGCTCTCACTCAGGTGGGAAGCCATCCGGGCAACTCACCAGTGTCGCAGCTGAGCCCTATCGCGAAGAAGACGCTGCGCGGGGCCCGTGACAAGGTTCTGAGCAAAGAGCAGCAAGAGGCACTGTCATCTCCTCAGCTGATGAACCAGTTCCAGACGTGGGCTCTGAAGGTTATTGGCAACGAGTACGTTGGCTGGATTTTCCGCCAAGAATTTTGCAATCGCCTCACCGCCGTTATCCTCGGAACGCCATACTCGGAGCTAAGCCAATACGTCAACGCTGTTGACGTACTCAGCTTGTTGGCCGTACACAGCCTCAACGATGACACCTACGGTAGGGTGCAAAAGGACGTTCCTACCATTATCCGCACTTTTACAGCCGTCATCACCAAGATCGAAGTATTCAAGGACAACTTCCCTGTTCACTGGACCGATATTGAGAAGAGTAGGGCTGCGCCAGAGGTGGAGGCTGTGATTGCAGCCTTGAAGACGGGCTTAGCCCAAGTGATTGCAGAGTTTGAACGATACAGCAGCGACTTGAGGTTGACTCGCACAGATATCAGACTAGCCAAGGAGGCGGCCGCCCAACAGGCACCTACCACGAGTGATGTCAGATCCCAAGGACCCGAGATGCAGCAAGCCCGCTAGTTACGGACTTTGGCGTACGTGGTGTCACGGTACAACCGTAAATTGTGAGGGGCGTTTGGTAGGCAAAACAGGCACAGGCATAACGGCAAAGCGACGTGTATCATAGTTAGATTTCACGAGGCAGTAAATCATTGCAACACACTCATGATTATATCAACAGAAAGGCTGACCGACTCTCATCACATGTAAATGAGGCGCACGAGCCCGGCCCTGCCTGCATCAGCTCATCGGTTTGGGCTAGTAAGACCAATGAATGGTATGAGACGATTGGATGCCTGCGATTGGGCACTGGTGCACGTGTAAGACAGCAGACGCTGCCTTAGTCATGGGGCTCATACCTCTCCCAAAGGCAACGCGGCGTCACGGCAGGTAAAAAATAGGTTTCTCCATGCCGAAGACTCCCCTCTCTTCCCATTCCGTTCCATCCCAGGGCATTGTGAATCTGTCTTTGAGCGCCTGGAATGTAAAAAAGTTAGTGCCCGTTGCCGCCCACCCACTGGTACCGCTAAACCTGATTTTGGATTAGAGCATGAAGCCTAGAAGCTACAGGGGTCCGCATGGAACCCCCACCTGAGCTTTGTGCTCTGTGGCCGGGAAGACACTGCTAATTCTCATTCGGCGAAATCAAACAAAATGAAAGCCCCCCAACCAACCTCTCACGCTCCCGCCTTCGCCCGTCCCGTCATCCTTCTCGTCGTCACCTTCACGCAACTGCGTGCGCAACCTCCACCTTTTTTCTTGTCTGCACGTTCACCAACCTCCATTCCCTCCCTCAACCGTACTATACTCTTTTCTCTCCTATGTAATGTCTAGAATTCACACTTGTTCTTCTTAGCCTAGCTACAGCTACATTCTACCTCCTTGCATAGGCCTTTTCTTCCGCCCAGCCATGCTTTTCCAGTTTGCGCCATTACCTCATGCACTGGCCCGTCGGTCCATGATCCTCAACCAGAAATCTCGTCGCTTCCCGGGTTGAGTCCTCAACGCTGGGAAACCCTTGAACTATCTCCGATGTTCTCCCCACGAGCAATATTCCGTTTCATATACGGAAGTTTCTACTTCGTCCTATGCTTCCTCCTAGCCCTTCTCCTCCTCGTCACACCTGGCGACACCATCTACCAGGCCTACTCGAACAACCAGCCATATAACATATGGATCATTGCCGCCGCTCTGGTCCTCACCACTTTGATCGTATCCTTCATCTACGCGACGCGACTGTATCTCAACAAGACGATCCTCGCATCAATACCGAAGCCATGGGTTCCCATCGAAAAGGGCGACGTGAACAAGAAGGTTCACGAAATGATCACAGCCGACCTGAAGCGCAGCGCAGCCATCGCCTATGACGCAAGGCCGCGCATCGAGACGAATTTGTTGGGTGGCGATATGGAGGAGGTACTGGTCGAAAAGCAGAATTCTGGCGGTAGCGCGGCGAGAAAGCGCTTTCAGCTGCCTACCCTGAAGAAGCCGGCAACAACGGAAAAGGAGACTGGCATTGCACTGCCTCCTCGACGGCCAGTTTGGGGCGAAATCGAACACTACGGCTGGTCATCACCCAACTCATTAGACCTCCCGGATCTGCAGTACAGCACCGTTCTCTCCGAGCTCCCGAACCTCATTGAGGCAAAAGCCCTGACACTGGCACCTCCCGATCCGACCTCTCCCAGTCAACCACCGATGCTCGATGCCGATGCGGTGGCCTTGTTACAGCGCCCGTTACCCATGAGTCTGCGCGACTACCTTGGCCATCTTGCTGAGCTGGGGGTAATTTCGCTTAATGCAACAACCGCCGACTTCCTCTCCACCTACGAACATGCGCGCTTCTCTACACGGGCGATTTCGAACGCCCAATTTCGCGAGTTGATGCATTTCTTTGCCGCGATACTACGCGGCATGCGACCCCTCGATCCGGCAGTCCTCGGTCCCCTGGACGAGCCCAGCGAAGGCTCAGAAAGCGATATCGACAACGATGCGCCGATCGCCACAAACCCTACTACTCCACGCAGTTTATCCCGGTCTGCGACACAGAGCACACAAGGCTCTTATAATAGGAGAACGCCGACTGTCAACGCGCGCAACTCCTCTGCAAACACATGGGCGCAGTACCGCACCGCGCCAGCTACTCCGCTGGGTACACTAAGAGGGGCCATATCGAGATCATCCAGCATGAATAGCTTCGCCCAGGCCCGGCCGGCATATGGTCCCAATCACTCCTCATCAAGTGTCAGTTTGCGATCGAGGGCATCAGGAAGTTCCGCCTCGGGCTCCGTCATCAGACTGGCGACGCGGACGGACTCGACTGACCTGCCTTATATCCTCTCTCTGCGAGAAACCAGGGCCTCGTAAGCTGAATCAACACAAAAGCAATAACGACTGAATGACTATGGGCACTGCATGATATCCACGGCGTTTGGTTTGAAGGAGCTGAAAGGACAGGCTCGATTTTTTGTTGTGTTATCTAATATTAATTGCACGCATATAAGTTTATTTTGTTCGTCTGGAGAGGTCCCACCGCTCAATGTGAAGTTCCACCACGTGCCGGCCAATGAGTTCTGTTCTCCCACCGGTGACATCTGTAATCAATCTGACGTCGTGTCAATCGCAGGCGGGAGAAATCGCACGCAGGTCGATTGTCGAGGTCGACGGGAAGAGGTAGATATAGGCGCGCTTTGACAGGGTCGTCGCCTGTAGCAACCCGTAGTAGCGGCTTTTGGGTTGAACTAGACCTTGGGTCTAGTGTTGTAAAATCTCCGGGGAACAGTAAGGCTTGATTCGAATTGAAGTCGAGGGGTCGAGAAGGCGTATACGAGAGGAAACGTATAGTGTAGGAAAATAGAAGATGAAAATGATGGGCGGATCGGTCTCAGAGGGTTGGAGGGGAATGGGGGAATGGCATTCGTTTAGTACTTCTCGTCAGCGCAGTGCGGATGGTGCTGGGGCGCCTAACAGAATTGCACTGGGACTAGGAATGTGTACAAGTGAGGCAACCGACACATCCTGGCAGCCAATGGAATTGGCCAATGGAAGAGGTACATGTAGGTATCCGTAGATGAACCGACCATGCACGGCGTTAATGTGGTACAATGGTAAGCTTAGATGTACTCCGTAGGTATTCGTCAAGCCAGCTCAAGGTTAGGTTGTGGATGATGAGCACAAGGGAGGTCACACCCATAAAACGTTGCCGACCCGGCGCCGCTCCCCATTTTATCGACTTTTCGGATCCGAAGCGACGGCCAGGCGTGACACGGACTTGAATGAGAGTGGAGCCTTTCGGGGCCGTGATCCGCCCAACTAAGCAGCGGCGAGCCTTGCCCAGGACCCCTGGTCGGATCCGAGTACAGGTTTGTGTCGTGTTTTGCAGTCTATCGGTTGGGTGAGTCTGGTCGATGCATTTGTTAGCTTGTCTCTTCCGTGCGAACCTGCGAGGGGTGTGTGTACGTACTGGGTAGGAGGCGGGAGACACGCGAGTTCTTCCATCGTCCAAGAGTCATTGAGAGTTGTTCACGAGAGATGCAAGACCACCTCAACCCTTGAGCTTGGACACGATGTCGTCAATATTGCGGGCCGCTACGGCACGATGGTTCGCCGTGGACTCATTGGCCGAGGTGTAAGCGTGAGAAAGCATGGTCTTGGGGCCGTTGTTATCGTCGAGGAAGGATTGGATTCGCTGCTGTTGTAGCTGCTGCTCTTGCAGGACTTGAACTGCGGTCCGACGGGCAGATTCATCCCTTGATGGTAACGAAAATTAGATTTGACAAGGAGAGGAGATTGGTAGAACATGTTGGGGCGCTTGGGTAGGTAAGTGTATGTAGGGGGACAGGGCGGGCCACAATACCCATTGACAGTACCTCGGTTTGAGGCTGTATCCATCGCGGTAATATGTTTCAAAGTGAGCCGTGGTTTTTCGTTTTCTTTTCGGGCAAGAACAACAAGTCAAGTCGCGCAATGACAAGATATAGTAAGTTAAGTTACTAAATGGTTGATGGACTAATGGCAAGAAGATTGGGGAGTTCACCATCCTTTTAAAGATATCAACATCGAACAACGACAGGTCGCACTCCTGACAGCGGACACACTATCACGTCCCAATTCCGTTAGTACCTACCGCCTCGGTAGCACATATCCCTTCTAGAATTCTATACCCTGATACTTTTCTCCAACGACCAGCAGGAGCGGCCGGCCGGGCAGCATTCTCTACCTATCCATGGACAGGCGGTGCGCCCACCTAACGTAAGGTAGCATGCAAGCCGAGATTTTGTAAGTATAGTTGCGAACGTAGAGAGCGTACTTGTACTCTCAGAGATAGCTTCAAATTCCCAGAAAATTTCAGTCCGGTCTCTGCACTATATTCGACTTTTAACTTCATTTTCTTCTATTTACTTTACATATTCCTTGGTTTCGTGAAAGGGCAAGATGCCTCATGTACATCTATCTGGATGTCTGCGGGGGAAAAGTTTCAGGGAACGTCGTCACTTGCCCGCCTTCAATTGGCGCCAGGAGGCTCTCCTAACCCTGGGCTTCCACCACACTTGGTCTGGGAGGGTGTGATGGCATGGACGGCCCCCCCACCTCACCTCGGACTCCGACCAGACCCAGCTGGGTTGGACAGGCCACCGGGACCGTACCATTTTGCCTGGGTGGCGGTAGTGATTTGGATCTAAGATTGAAACGGCGGTGGGACATGCCAGCGCAAAAAAGCTACGACGGATTCCAAGGCAAGGTACTTTAGGTAAGTACCTTAGTTGACTTTCTTTCCGCCCCATGTCCCAGGTCCTCAGGCAGAGAAGCCGCATATCTTCCCTGGACCCACATTCACCTTGGTGCGCTAAGTCATTTCTACCAGGGGGTGAAAGTCATTCACTCATCTTTCCCTTCTCCAAGCCGCACTCTGCCAGCATCGTAACCACCCAGTAATCAAGTAATGCCTGAACCGGGCTTATGGACTCAGTCGATCGTGGAGACCAACACTGGACTGAGTAGTTGCCGGCAGTTGAGTTTCTCAAGTCGGAAATTTACTTCTGTATTTATTCCACGTACAAAATCCTATTACAACCAGCGCCTAAGAAAAGGGGGGACCCCCATTTCCTGCCTTGTTGAAAGATATCACCTGTGCACTTTTCAAAGCATTTATTTCATGATTAGGAAATTTGAGTGCTAAATCAGGTAGGTACACGTTGGATGAGAAATCGACTGCGCTTAGAGACCACGCTGCGCTGCGCTGCCACAGGCTTTTCGTGGTACGTATCTTACCTCAAGTACCTACGCGTTTGCGATGTTTGTGAAACCGAACCTCCAGATTCAACCCAAAAGAAATTGAAGATGCTGGCAGACATGATTGACCTGGTAGGTTCCGGGTACTAACTAAGATGAAAAGTTCTACCAGGAGCCGCAACAAGTTGAACCGCAACAAGTAGGTAGGTAGGCACGTAGGTAAGGTGGTAAGGTACCTTGAATCGCCAAGAGGCAGCGGAGCCATTCGCCTGGGTCTTGAGCACCCGAAAGCTGTACGGATAGAGAGAGCCTAGGTACTTGAATATGCCGGCGCACACCACAATCCCGTCAAGTATCATTCACGGCCCCACATCAGTGCTGACATGGAAGATGCGGGCCAAGTTTGTCAAAAGACTGATGTCGAACGGCTCCAGTAGACGTCAGAGCGAGTCTCCGGATAGCTGGAACGCCGCTCTTCCGACTGCTTGAATCGCCTAGCCGAGCGTTCGATGGCTGAGATAGCATGGCGAATCGAACATTCAAATCTAAAGTGAAATGTCAGGATCCCCACACCTATTTGTATAGTGTTCTTTGCGCACAAACATTCAATCTTTATAAGTGCTTATGTTTGCAGACAAAGCCAAATTTCGACAATTCACGCATTTCATTTTTTGACCTTCAACATGACGTTTTCAATCTTATCGTTCTTCTTCTCGTGGTACTTCTCGATGGATCTCTTAGACGCCCCCATTATATGAGGCAGCATCGGGGTGGGGCATTCGTCATCTCGTGCAAAAAGGTGAAGTCGTTCTCTTTGAAGAAGCAACATTTCTCTGGCGTCAGTTTTTTTGCGGCTCGAGGTTGAAACGTCACTATGTGCGACCAGGTTAGATTGGTTATGTCAAAGTGCTTTCGAAGCTCGAGGGTGCTTTGGGAGAGGATTAATGAATAATAAAGTTGTACCCGTGGACAATGGACTTGCTCGAATCTGAAGTCATCACGGCTGTTTAGATACTCTATAGTTCTGGGCTATAGGGAAATGTGTGTTCGGTTTCGATGTGATTACGAAAGGCTTCCAGAAGATTCAGAGCCTAGAGCGGTGATGATAGTCAAAACGAACATCTTGAAACCAAGACGGGGTTATGAGATATTTGTATGATTATGTACTCTTTGAAAAGACCATTGCAGGTGAGGTGGTTCTTGATTTACCTCCGATGGCCATATTGTCCATATTAGGTTGTCCAGAGCCAGAGCCAGAGCCAGAGCCAGAGCCGGCCGCGGAGTCAGATTAACATCGGTACGTACCACGTGCGGCGCGCCTAGTGCGGCGTGCGTAGGGCGGCGGTTCGCAAACTTTTGGTCCGCAAATCCAGATAGGGTCTTTTTGTCGCCCCAGCCTTTAACTCACATCCTACCCGATTGATTCCATTTTTTTCCCGCATCCCAGTCATGTAACACTTACAACTTTCTCTTCTCATCTGAAGACTCCACCAAAACCAACGTTTCCACCCACCGGAAATAACAACAGTAAAGAAAGACTCCCGAGCCCCAAGAACGATGGTCAAGGGTCTATCCGCGTCTCAACAGTGGATTATGTTGAATTGGGAAAGCTCTGGTAATGCTGTACATGTCTCAATGTTGACTTTGACTAATGATAATTCCTTATGTCAAATACAAGGCCTTTTGGTACTACTCGAACTCATTTGTCACCCTTCATCCAAGTACGTGCACTAGTTGTGGTGTTTCTGACAAGCTCCCACGAAAAATAGACGTGAGACCTTGAATGAGGCGATTCGCACAGAGCATACCATCTGTTCCTAGTATCCAACCGGATGTACCTAATAAATCTGATTCAAAAGGTCCCGTCAGTCAAGTTATATCCGCCCGCATGATAGCATCAGCGAATGATCCCTACCTCAGCCCAGTCACTCAGTATAGCATTTGTGGACAGCCACAGATAGATGCACTCAGCCCATAGGTTCAGATTTCGCCCAGATTCTCCACGAATGCTGCAGTCTTTTCGTGGTGTTCTATGCACATGATAGAAATACGATTTGAATATGATCTCCCCTCGCAACATCTAAGGAGATTCCCGCGTCATGATTGATGGGGTGCCGAATGAAGTCCAATGCACGGAATAGTGATACTTGAGGAATTTACTTTGTATTTAGGCCTTGTGCGTCGCTACATAATTCCTTTGTAAATTTGGCTATTCGTGATTGACTTTTTATGTGGTGCTAGACTTTCTCACATCTGAATTCGTCCCACTACGAGGTGCTGTCGAATTGCTGCTTAACAGCTCCAGCTTGTCAACTGTTGGCTCATATTCTGCCCTCTTCCACTGTTCGAGGATGCACCGGAACCTGGGTTGCGAGGACTTGCAATGTAAAAACGCTTATCGATGAACACTCCATCGGATAAACAGAGAACATGAAGTACGATGGATGCAAAGCGTCATCCATTGTTCAGCTACCTGCCGTCCTTGAGGACGGGAGTTTACTATGGACCCGGGGCTCGAATGCGCTGGGATGTGCTGCTCTGACATAAGGCAGCCAACCTGCATCTACCCGCCGTCGGGACGTGCGTTGCCTGACCCCACTAACCCTCCACCATCTGGACGAATATGGGCAAACGTTATCGTTGAACATGTGCGCCTTTCCCGGTAGGTACACCTACTCGAGTCTAGTTCCTTGAGACGCTGATGTACCTAGGTCCCCCCAGTTGACCCGGTGCTTCGGGTCATGTACTCCAGGAACACCGTTGCAAGTCTGACCCCAAGACATACTTGTCTTGCCTTGGAGATCTACTGCGGCGTTTTTCGACTGGTCAAAAGGTTGATCGTTGATTACATGGAACACTGGTTTGACAACGAGGTAAATGGAGTACAAGCTTCCCTCGTCCGGATGGGAACCGCAATCTGTATGATCTGTTCACTGAGGCCGGCCTGTTAGTAACTCTGCTGCCACCTCGTGTCTGAAACCATACCCGTAAAATGAACAGTACAGCAATGTTTATCCAATAGCTTTATGAGTCCCCGGTCTGCTTTCACCGCTCAAAATCGGCCATGATCCTGTTGATATCCTGGCTTGCTTTGGCTCGATGTTCGGCTACAGACGTCGCAGCCACGGCCGTCATGGATGGCATCACTGTATTAAGACCCTTGTCGCTGATGAAGATCTGGAGCCGTGCTGTGTTTGTACGATTAATAACACGTTCGATCCGAGGTCGGTTGGGGGTTTCCGATGCGTCCCTGTCAAACCTAAGTTAGTTTAGGCTCTCGGTAACAGTGGGTCATTAGCATCTAGGTGCGCCGTACCCGTTCACGATCGCGCTATTGGAGACGCTGTCCATAGCGGTGGATTGAACCGATGAGTGATGAGTGTGCCTTGCACCTGACGGGGGGTCTGATATGTTGGCTTGACTGCCATCCGGTGACAGCAATTTTGTTGGAACAGAAGCTTCAACGGCCAGAACTTGGTGGCTGTGAAATCTTGTCTTCTCAAATTCATATATACAAGAGACGTTCGTCCCAAGAGTATGAGGGCATCGAAAGACACACGAATTGGGAGACTTCTGGTTGCCCTCTTTTCCGTTTTGGGATGAAGGTGTATTTATGTGTACTTGCACGCTCCTTGAATTGGTTCGCATAATTCGCCATGTCGAATTGCAATGGGTTTCTAGTCCCGCGCGCCTGCCAGCATCCACGCATGGATCTGGAAGTAGTGGTTCGCCATCGGTCGCAAAATTGATACAATAGGCCAGGAGATTTTATCAGGGATCCGACAAGAGCAGCCGGGTCCCCGATACCTCGAGGATCCGGGGCCGGGAGTCTAGGCGTGACCGTCACTTCGGGAGCCCGGTCTCACTTCGGCTTCAATCATAGCAGGCGTTGCGCGTTGCAAGATCACCCATAGCTCTAAAGGCTTCACGCCAATTTATGTGTTTCCCGTGGGTGTCTGAAGAGCTCCTTCGCGATGGAGTCATCCAGAATAGCAGCCTCCGTTCCTTTCACAGAAGCTCTCACTCAAGACAGAAATTTGTTCCACACAGCATCGACATAAACATTTGGAGCATGTGTTGAAACTGGACGACAAGATATGATGTATGTACATCTGAAGATGTCTGAGTCGCAGCGCAAACCACCAAGCGTTGTTCCAAATATCTATCAAGCTGCCAGGTTCGCATCTCAACTCAATACTTGTGTTATGACTGCAGTATACCAGCTTAGAGTCAACAGAATGCTTTGCTAATAGACGAGGGATCCATTCATCAATTGCAGGTCGGTTCGTATAAGTCCCCCAACCTCCGCTGAAGCAATCTCGCCCCGTTTCATTCTCCACAAACACGAGAAAACCCTTATGAGCTTATGACAAGACCTTGAGGTTAATCTATCACTGTTGAGCAGCAGTTGAGAGCTTCGTCGCCGCCTTCGTGTCTGGGATCATGGGGAGATTCTTACAAGCCTTGTGACTCTCCAATATCAAAACCGGCATATTCTGTTCAAGATATCTAGGAGGGGATCATGCTTCTTCAACGAACGAAGCTGATGCCGTGGAACTCCTCGTCCTAATAGGTGCTTCTGTAATTCCTTGAATGTGAGGCATATCTTTCTTCTGATGGTTCGCATTAAGCTGGCAAGGCGTGCAATCCTGATGTCAGAGAAGGCAGCAGTCGAGTAATTGTAATTCTACTGTTCGCGCGGCACAGCGGCACAGCGGCACAGCGACACACCGGGCGGCACATTGAAATAATTGGTAGCTAGGCAGGGACCATAGAACAACCACTCGTCCTGAGGCCTTCTTGATCTACAAGGCTCGTGATGATGATGGACCGCTTTACTTCCATCGAGAACGTTTGACGTGTCCGTTCGCTTCACTTTGGGTGAGAGCTTGCGCGTTTTATCGCCCCATTCTCAGCAACTTGATCATCCGCGTCATCACCAGACCAATAGTGGTGTTCATGTGGCATAAGTTTTCGGTGAGTATACTACAGAAAGGTTGCAGTGATTTGTCAAACGGCAGCAATATCGCAGGCATCAGTCAGTCTTGTCTTTGCCTAGAAAGTCCAAAAAAATCCCTCTCCCAAACAGGGCGACGTTGGTGTTACATAGGCCCGTTTACTCTCACCGCTCCTTGAAAGCAGCGATCGCACTGGCCAGTGGTATATATCAGGCAATCCTGCGGCACTCTTTATGGTTCGCCATTTGATACGGTTCGCAAAAGCAATTGGGAGCTTGGGGACTGCGCCGTCTCCCCTTCGGTTCTCACCTTTCCTGTCATACCCTTTTCTCGTTCTGGGTGGAATCATGAGCACGAAGTCTGGCCATGCTTGGCCTTTTGGTTTGTAAGAGTCTCTCACGTGGTCTTCTAAGGATTCTCTCAACGAATAAGTTAAGCGCAGTCCATTACTTCGTACTTCCCTCTTCCTACTTGTCTCCGCATCAAAACCATCCATCCTCGACATCCTCATCGGCTCGCTGCACCTCAATTATTGGCAGCTCGTAGTCTCTGAGCGACTTGATTCGGCAACAACCTCTCTCTTGTTACCATATCCCTAAATAAAAAGGTGCATGTGCATATCGAAGTGTCCCGGAATCCTTTGCTAAACGACGGATTGGTAAACAGAGGCGGCGCAAGCCCACAGAAACTTCCATCATTCGACATTCACTTCTGATATGAGCGCGCTCATGGCCTACTCCCGTCAACCAACGGCTGAACTACGACGAGCTGAGAACAATATCATGGCCACACCTCAGACGAAGAGGCCTTTCGCCCGAAGAGCCGGCTGTTGCTACCTGACGAGTCGATGTCTTGCGGCCGAAAGTTGGCCGGGCTGAGATCTATCAAAACGCAGGACGAATGAATGAACCGCGAGGGAAGGAACAGGACGGACTTACCATGCACCAGCTCATTTCTCTCGCCTCGATTCCGGTGACGATCCCTGAAGTTGTTCGTCATACTTCTCCGCCTGCCTTATCGTAACAGGATGGAAATTGGCCTCTCGACTGCCACAACGTCGAAATACTCTGTGTCCAACGGAGACTATTGTTGTTGCCACCTCGCAGCACATCCGGAGACTGAGGCAAAACTGATTTTCTAAACCGACTACGACCTTTCGGGATGAATCTCTACCTCGTACTACTTACATTATTTGGCAGCACGCTGGGTAGATTCGCACGCTAGGTAGATTCGCACGCTGTCTTGCCAGTTCTGGTTGCTTCTCCCCGTGATCAGAACTCACAGGATATCTCTGCCTGCATTGACGTTGCCAGATTTAGTTGCTGGCATGATCCATCTACCATATCACCACTACCCTGCGGCGAGTTGCTTAACGATTACTGCTGAAGGTGGGAAGCTAAAGCGTCAACGACGCCAGTCATAAGAACGGTGGCTGTAGCGGAACAATGCTTCCATCTTTGACGTCTATGAGGTCTCCTCGAGCTTCTTCATGCTAACGCCCAACCTTTCTTCACTTTTCCACAAAGTCCGTAGACACAATACCGCTGACTGACTCATCATTGTCCGTAACCACCTCGAGCATGATAGTAAGGGAATTTATGAAGTGAAGCTATTCCGACTTCTCAACATATGTAGTTCCGATCAGAATGGAACAGATTGAAGATAAATCTAGCATAGACGCACATCCTCTCAGGAGGGCACTGCAACATCTTCCTCAGCCTTCTTCTCCGGCTTCCTACCCCAGGCAGCGTACCTATAAGTGTCATTAGCTAGGCTCGGATAAGAACATCCGTGACTTATTCACTTACACGTCGTAGTATGCGTGGACTCCAATCTTCTTGTGCTCGTTTCTCACTTCGGCAATGAAGACTGTCGCCTCCTCTTTCGTCCAGTTAAGAACGCGAGTGAAAAGAGCCATCGAAGCTGCTTCAATGCCCGAGCCAGCGGATGCTTGAGCCCACGAACCCAGCTCCTTGAGCTTTGGGTCCTTGGGCCAGGGGTTGTAAGGCCAAATCGCCTTCTTCTCCTCGACGTCGACGAAGCCTGCATCCTCCAACATTTGCTTGAAGCTGGCAGCGACGTTGACCGGACGTCCCATCGTTGCGGCCGCCTCCATGACCAACTTCGTCCACTTGTAGGGTTTGAAGTCGTCGGTCATCGTATCGTCTCGACACATGAGTGGAAACATGTTGTCCTGAAGCTCAAGATAACCGCCAGGCTCGAGACGTCTACAATCACTATGCATCAAATTCAAGAGCCAGCTGATTGGAACGTGATACTCACTCGAAAGCCTTCGCAATCATGCCTGGCCAATCAGAAAAGCTTGCAATCATGTTTCTGACAAAGATGAGGTCGAACGGTTCCGACCAGAGCCACTCTTTCTCAACATCGTCAACCTCAAAAGAGCAGTTAGGAGGTACGCTAGATTTATGAGTTAGCTGAGGCATTGCTTTGAACAAGTGTGGAACATACAAGCCGGGTTGAATCGGACTGAGGTCAACACCAAGTACCTAGGGGAAGTCAGCGACTGCAATCTCATTTGGCCTTTCATTGGAAATTACTATAGCTTCAGCGTGATCGTCCGCTACATTCATATTAGCCACTGTCACTATGACGGAGGAGAGTTGACTAACCATAGTCTAGAGCCCAGACACCAGTCCCAGTACCGATGTCCAGCACTCGTTTGGCACCAGCATTCTTGGGACAGTTGCAGAGTTTGTTGTCCCATGTAAGTAGCCATAGGTTATGGGTGAGATCTGACGATAGATGAGCATTATTCAAGAGTTTAATCTGGGGTTGAACTTGCTTACCAAGTCTGTCTTGCTCTCGCTACAAGTTGACCGACCGTTAGAAATAAGCTAATACTTGAGAATGGTGGACTGTTACCTCGTCATTGGGAAGAAGATACTCTACTCAATATTAACACCAGGCTAGCCTTCGCAAGACGCACTGATTCACAGAGCAACTTACTTCCATCGCTGAGCCGATGATAGGTACGACCATTTTCTCGGCGGTAATCGAGGATGCTGGACCTCAGGGAAGCCAGGGAGTCATCAATAGACTGCACGATGTCAGCTCGGGCCCAAGGCTCAAATAGTCGGAGAGGTGCGACTCACCGAGCCATCGATAGAGGATGCGCCATCGTCGATCTCAGTTTCCTAGAATTCATGTCAGCGACAACTTGCTACCCTACAGATGATGAACATAGGAGGCTGCGACTAGATTCTTACCGCAGCTATTATAGGCTGCTGTGCCTGGTCAGCCATCTTGCAATGTCGTCTAAATAATAATTCGAGGAAAGAGTTGTGAATGTGACAAGGAAGAACAGAACGATGAGTACGAAAGAGTCCAAAGTGAGGGGCAAAGGGCTGGGTAAATGTAATCTCGCGTCCTTCCTTAACGAGAGGGCCCCTGGTCGTGTTCTCCATGTTGATGCATCGTCCCCCGCTTACATTTCTCTGTTGGTTTGCAGAATTGTGTTTGTTTACTTCTGATTGGATTTTACCATAGTTATCATCTCATGCATGCATATGCAAGGTGCCCGGAACCATCATCCAGCGTCCCGTGGTGGACAGTAAGTCGAAATACGGCAATATAGCGCCGAGTCCATGGGTCCCGGTTGCGCAAGTGACGGAATATCACACCGGTTACGATATCTCCAATGTCACAAACGGATATGCTCAACAGTGAAACAGGCGTCAAGGGTTCGTCGTCTATGTTTGAAAGGCACACAGCTTCATCATAGAAAGAATGTCAAATAAGGACATCGATTGAAGGAGGAGATTGCCAAGTATCATGCACAATCCGTCTACTTTTCTGCAGGTTTCCGACCCCAGACTGCAGAGCTAGAGAATGATCAGTCAACGCCCCCACTAAAAGATCCAGTAATTGACTTACACATCGAAGTAGGCGTGGATATTTTGTTGCTTCAATTCCTCTCGAGCCCCGGCGCAGAATACCAACGTTCGCGCCCGCGACCATCCCAGAACGCGAGTAAACAGGGCAAGCGAGAGAGCTTCAAGGCTTTCCATAGTGATAGATTGGCACCACATGCCCAACTCATGCTCTTTGGTAACCTTCGCGGGCCAAGCCCCAATCGGCCAAATTTCCTTCCTCTCATGCACGTCCTCGAATCCAGCGTCTTCGAGCATCTTCTTGAATCTCGGGGCGTCATCAAGTGGCTGTCCAATCTGTTCAGTGCTCTCAACGAGCAACTTAGACCACTTGTATATCAACGAATCTTCCGGCATAGTCCCGTCGGTACAGAGCAAACAGAAGACATTATCCTGCATTTCCAAGTACCCACCGGGTTCAAGATTCCTCCGTTGCCAGATCGTCAGTTATATTTGAATGTGAGACTACAGCAGAGCTTTAGCGACTAACCTGAAGGCTTGGAGTACAAAGTCTAGGCGAGTTTTGAAAGAGGCGTTCATCGATCTAGCAAAGATGAAGTCAAATGCCTCTAACCAAATCCACTCCTTCTCAATATCGTCAACCTCGAAGTGGCAACTCGGAGGGACGCTGCTACGTCAGTATGCCGATACCCTTCTCATCTTTTTCAAGTTGACTAACAATTCAGGCTGTATGGGACTCAAGTCAACACCCAGGACCTGTGTATCTGTAAGTCGAAGTTGACTTCGCAGACCTTGTTCGTCTTACAAATGCTCCTGGATTCTCATCCGCTTTGGTATCATCAGTATCTCAAAAGAATTGCCCTCTTAGTCACTCAGCAGACTTACCATATGCGAGAGCCCAAATACCAGTTCCAGTTCCAACGTCAAGCACTCTTCTTGCGCCGTACCGTTTTGGGCAGTTGCATAATTTGCCATCACAAGTTAACTTCCAAAGGTGGTGAGCAAAGTCTGTCCAAAGGGTTAGTACTTTGTCTACTGCTCCAGACATTTTCACTCAGAATACGTACCTAGGCGGTCCTGTTCTTGCTACATCGTAAGTCAGCATCTTAGTCTCTCGAGTTTTGGTAACCTTGGCGCACCTCGTCGTTGGGAAGATTATAGCCTGAAGTAAAGCGTTGTAAGTGGCCTGTCAAACGTTCAATCCGAAGGACACTCACTTCCATCACTGAGCCTGTGGTATGTTCGGCCGTTCTCTTTACGATAGTTGAGGATGCTGGATCGCAAGGAAGCCAGTAAGTCGTGTGATTAGCAGGAGAATCTATCAGGAGTCTATGTGACACACAGATCCTCCTATGAAATAGGTATCATCGTCAGTGTGATCATTCTATCCTTGAAGTTAGTACACTTGTCCGTCCACGTGAAGGATGGCCCTGCACTCACGTTGGCTGGAAGTCGTGCGTCCTTTGCCATAGTGGCTTGTGAATAGGTTCAGATTCTTTTGGTTATCATAGGATGGCAATCATAGATTCAAGAATGCAGTTGGATAGATGAGGGGAAGGGAGGAGAGTCGATCGTTGCTTGCGTCGTTGCTGCCCTTGACGAGACGGCACCATTCTTCTGCACTTCCAACAACCAACCGCTAGACCCGCTTAGAGGCCAACATCTAACTAGTTTGATTGGCCTGCGCTATCTTCGTATCACTAGGTCTGCATGTTTGCTAAGTGTACGACAAGGATTATGAAAGCAAGTTCCAACACTCTCGGGCTTGCTCAGTGTTAGTAGCGGTTGAATGACCCAGGGATCTTGCCGAAGCATCAGCTTCTTTCTGAACACTGTCCTTTGCGAGTGTCACATGGTACAACAGTACAGCGTTTCTCACCTGCCACGCTTTCTTAGGGATTTTGCAACTCACACCGAGCAGGCGTGAATGCCGTCTTATTCATGAACTGCAAGTCTAGCATATTGAAGGATCATGCAGTGTGTATTAGAAATGAAGGGTGTGCCGAGTATCTCGAATATCTGACTAGCCTCCTCCTCCTCTCTCTACTTCTTCTCAGGCTTCCGGCCCCAAGCAGCATATCTGTTCCGATCAGTTAATTAACCCGTACTGAACGGCAAAGCGTGAGTCGACGAACAAATACTTACGCATTGAAGTAGCCGTGAACGGTCTGCTATTTCAACTCCTCCCTGACTCCAGCGCAAAATAACAAAACCTCTTCTCGAGTCCAGCCAAGCATGCGCGTGAACAAGGCCATACAAATCGGCTCAATACCTTCCATGGTACCCGCTCGGGAACAGATTCCCAGCTCCCTCTGTCTTGGGTCCTTTTGTTGCCACGGGCTAATGGGCCATTTCTCTTGGCGTCCCTGAACATCTTCGAACCCAGCATCCTCGAGCAACTGCTTGAAAGTAGGCGCAATAGTCATTGGCTTCCCCACAATGTCCAAAGCTTCAACAATGAGCTGAGTCCACTTCAAGACTTGAGAGTCTGCGGGCATGGAACCATCATCGCAGAAGATGGGGAACTCGTTGTCTTGAATCTCACGATACCCTCCCGGTTCCAAGTTGCTTCAAATTGGCGTTAGTTCAAGCAGAATCCCACAAACGAACCAGAGAGGAGCGCATACTCGTAGGCTTTCTTGATAGCTTCTGGCCAGCTTTTAAACCTTCCAACCATTGATCTGACGAATATGAAGTCGAAGAGCTCTGTCCAAGTCCATTCTTTCTCAAGATCATCGATTTCGAAGCGACAATTGGGCGGAATGTTGTTGTAACCGGTCAAAACATGATCCAGTTCATGACACCAACGTATAGATAATCACTAGACGGGTTGAATAGGGCTCAGATCAACACCAATGACCTACATTAACTCTTCAATGATATTCAGTGTGTCAGGAAAAGTTGCTTCGACATACGCTTGCTTCGGGATGAGCATCCGCTGTCAAATCATTAGCAAATGAGCTTAGAATACCGTACCAAGGGATTTCAAGCCATTCCACCTACCATAATCGAGAGCCCAGATGCCCGTGCCAGCTCCAGCATCCAAGACTCGCCTGGCGCCCTTGACTTTAGGGCAGTTACACAGCTTTCCGTCTCATGTAATTATCCACAAATGATTGGCGAAATCTATGTTGTGTTATTGTCTTGCGCGTCCGCAATTCTGGGACTAGGACAGCACGTACCTAAACGGTCTTGTTCCGTCTGCATTGTGCGTCTAAGTAAGTCAAAACGACTTCTAGAGATGCGCAAAATATCTCACCTCATCGTTAGGAAGATAGTACTCTGTTCGATGGTCTTAGTAACCACTTGTCAGAGCTGACGACCAAGGTAAACTTACTTCCATCACTGACTCTGTGATACGTGCGTCCGTTTTCCCTCCGATAGTCAAGGATACTTGACCGTAAAGAAGCCAGGGAATGATCGGTAGACTATTTATTGTCAACAAAGCGGGATTCGCCAACTTTTGCGTAAGATACTGACACTGACACCTATAGTTGAGGCGCCATCGCTGTCTTGAGGATTCTATCTGCCGTGTTAACCCAGACTATGGCTTGGAATTTATGTCAAAATTGGAATTCGTACGTTGGCTGGAACATTGTCTGTAGTTTCGGCCATGCTTTTCTTATGTATTGCGCAGCTTGTATATGTTGTTTCGAACAAAGGGGTAGCTTTGGGAGAACACACTGAACCAAGGTTGAAGGGAAAGACGGGGTAAAATGCTGCTTCCTAGCCGAAGCTGTTGGCAGCGAGGTGCCTGTTGTGCATTCACAACGATGTATCCGTGCGATGTAAGCGCCAGCAACCCCACTTGTTGGTTGCTCGAACTTCATGTTGATCAAGCGATTGGACGAGATGTTGTTCCTCAACCCATTCGTGCATACACAGGTTTGGACGGCCGGCCTTCAAGCCTAACACGGCCGGAACGGCGGAGATACAGTCGGTCTTTGGGGAATTATACTTGGCAAGATGCAAGGTGATATGGATTCGTTCAAGGTTGGTATTAACTGCCCAATTCGAAATGTAGCTGGGCCCATGGGTAGGAGAGCGCGCATGCGCTTCTAATCACCTCTTTCCTTTCGAGATGCAGCCCTGTCTCCATCTGTCATTACAACCATCACAAACGAACGTGTCTTTGCTTAAAACAGCGGGGGCAAAGGTCAGAAACAATGAAGGGAAGTTGAGTTTTAGATCAATTAGAGACCAGAATAGCCCAAAGCCTCTACTCTTCTAAAGTGTGACCTTCTCCTCCGTCCTCATGGCTGAATATATCTTTACACGTGCAGATCCACCTGCAGTTCGCATTCCTGACTCTTAGAAAATCTGTTCCGCGCTTCTTTGATATCAACTGCGTGAGCAGCGATCTAGGTGAAACGTTTTGTCTGAAACAATTGAAGCTTCCCGCTTCAGCACTTGTGCTAGTAGCCCGACTTCAGCTACTGTTGTGGTTTACTCCAGTGGAGCTGGTCTTTTCGGTTGGTGGATTGGTTGAATCGTCTGACATAGCTTTCATAAAGCTCTTCTGGAAAGACTTGATGGCTCGGGTAGCACGACCTTTGTGATGATCGATGGCAGATTTCAAGTCCCGAGGATTGTGGGAGAGAGGCACGAGTATATTGCCGTCTTGGGGGTGTTCCTGCTGAAAACGAGCCAGCTGGGATTGTCGAGGTATAAAGTTATCCAGAGGATTGACTCGAGAATGAGTGGAAGTCCTATTTTTGAATCAATGTCAATACAGTCTTTTCAATGGACAGAAAAGAACTTTTGACGTACCCCCCATGATCAGGGCTAGAACCAGGAGAAGACATGGCCGTTGTTCAGAGCAACAAATAAGATTGCTCGTTGAAGTTATTACATTGAAACTCAGTGACCTTGACTTTCTGGAACAATATCTTCCACGACACTGGTGAGAAGAAGGTCTTATACAAGATCAAAACCTTGGCCAAGTGCGGCTGGAAGGACTGTACATAACGGCAGTCAGCTCCAGGCGAACTGGCCTGGGACGGAAATGAGGTACTGGCGACCTGCCAAATACTGTAGTCGAAGCCAGATTGACCAGAGCAAAAACCATTGAGCTCTAGAAAGGGACAATAACACAATGGTCCGCCGGCGATCCGCGGCCGTTCGCACCTAGACTTGACCTAACCGCCATCCTACCGTTGGCCGGTGATTTGCCCCAGACTGGAGATGACCAACTTCGCATCCTGCTTCACACCCCCTTGCCGTACCGGACCCAACCCGGCTTGCTCCTCCCAAGGCTACGGGCCGTTACACCCACTTCGAACGTCCCAGAAACCCGGTGCGTGGCAAGTCGTGGAGGGGCGTCTAAACCCTTCGCGGTATCGTCCCCGTTCGAGAGCCCCTGACAAGGTCTTCTTTCATCCTTCGAGAACATGCAAGGACACTCGACACCTTCCTTTAGGAGAAGCTCGTGTGCCGACTGGGGAATAAGACTCTGGGACCCGGGGAGAATACTGGTCACATACTGCCCACCATGCATGGTATAAGCCACAGCGATCATGAGGGATAATCTTGTGGGCTCCACCACACGGTTCTCAGAGGTCTCCAAGGCGCTAAGAACACGGCACCGGCATTCAATGAGACGTCGCATGTGTCTCTTGTCGGGGAAATGAAGACCTGCCGGTGGTTGAAGTCGGAGCCACTGCGGAAAGTCCGTCACTGTCCCCGGAGAGATTGTGGCTGGTGCTCTGCAGCTAATAAATTCGAGGGCCTCAATGGAAGCTTCAACGTGCATGATGTGGCTAGTGCTTCTGTTTCGTTGGCCGACGTGATGCTCGGAGGCAGAAACGACAGGCAACCAGCCACAATTTGGGCCATGTGGTGTCTCTGTGTTCTGATTTGCTGTAACCCGAGCAAAGAAGTGATGGGTTGCTGAGCCGCTCACTATCCCCAATTGATTCGGTCCTCGAGAGGGAGGGATACATCGGCACATCGGATTATGAGGGACATTTCTGCCACAACCCTGGTTTATCGCTCTTTTCTCGGTGCTACATTGGCCAATGTTACACGAAAATGATGACTAGTTGTTTGAAGATTGAAGGAATGGTAGGTCAAGCTGCAGGACTCAATCTCAGACCGAGGCTTCGAGGATTTCGGGGGTAAGCAGCTCTTGGAGCCCCAATTCTTCCCTACCTCTTATCAAGAGCTTCCGAGCCACACTCACTCACTCTCGCGTGCCTCGCCAACTGAAGGCATACTTTGGCTCTAGCCACCAAGGCAGACTCTATGGAACAGTCAGGCTTCAGTTCAAGCAATGGAGATGACATTTATTGAGATTGGAAACTTCTCATACCTCTCACGGATATACAGCATGGTTGATGCTGACTTGAAGAAGACTGCGGCGGTGGCCGTGATATGAAGTTGAAAACAATCCATCCATAATTGAGTTAGAGGTGTTTTAGAGGACCCCGCTCATCGTCCGCGGGGAAGTCTCAGGCGACGCTGCCTTGTCCGCCAGGGGGTCGAATCAATACCCCTGTCGGAGGGGTTGAGTGTTGGACTTCTAAAGTTCATTCTTGGCTTCGTCCCACACGTCTTCATCAGAGTCATCCTGGGCTTATTCGTCCGAATCGTCCAGGGATTTCTCGGATCAGAGCTGGGTGACTCGAATGGAGGATGAGGCATGAGGGAAGTATTTCTCCCTGGCGTCTTTCCAGCTCGCCGTATTGGTATTCTTCAAGCGGATAAGTGCCGTGAGAAAATGGAGATGTAAAAGTCCTGCAACCGGCCGATTGTCGTTGAGGAATTCCACCTCTCTGTCCTGAAGATCTTGGATCCGGACAGCTTCGCGTCCACCAGGTGTGAGGTTTCTGCCTTGGACAGTCTCGTCTTCAATGTCCTTGTCGAGGATGTCGATCTTCCATCGTGTGAGTGGCTTTTCTTCTGGATTGACGGGCACAACGACTAGCTCATACGAGTCGAAATAGCCCTTAATGTCCTCCGAAAGTAGAAGCGCATTCGCCGGTTCGTCTGGCCCGTCCGTCATAATCTCCCGGAACAGGTCCCTCAAGAGCTTCATATGTAGGCTCGTGAAATGAAATGCGGCACAATGTGTGCAACGGTATGGCACTTGAGCGGGTTCTGGGTAAACTTGAACACTCCCCTCTTCTTCTTTTCTTTTCTTCTTTGACACATCCATGAGCCGGTGGCGTGACACCAGAAGTGCGAGTTCGATTCGGCCAACATGATTCCCATCTGGCCGCCATCATTGTCGATTTCTGCGGATTGATATTGGTTGGACTGTCCCCCATAGTACTTCAGAGCTTTGTATCGGAATCCATATCTAGTTTCTGAAGGCTGCGTCCGGGATTTATCGAGCCCGCTGGAGTAGCTCTCCACACACTGGGCTATGGTTCTGGAATGAGGTCGTCAGAGATTCACCACGTTGATATCATCGATACCGGCCCTCTCTTGGAATAGTGTCCGACCCAGGGAGATTTGAGCAGAATCTGAGTGCTGGTTGGTGTGTTGTGGGATGGCTTTGCCTTGAGGGGCACCATCCGGCACGGATTTTTTACCGTCCTACTCTTTAACGTTGCTCATCTTTATTGACTATTTGGTGTAGATTATTACAATGGTGTTGAATGTTGGATAGTGGGTGTAGTTGGGCGGTTGATGGTGTTTCCAGTGGCTCATACTAGAGGAATATTATGAGGAGGTAAGAGGCAGATAGAGATAGCCCTAAGGTAGGTAGGGTAGGTAGCACGGCGTCTGGAAAGCGGCAGACTGAGTTTACTTCCAATCCGGTTCCTCCCTGATATCAACCTGGATGGTTAGGTTCACCAGATAGCAGAGCCTTAGAGGTAATAAGTAGGTAACAGAACAGAATGTCGTTCCCCGCACGACTAGCCGCCTTCCTATAACGATAACCAGTTTTACTATTACCGATCTTCGCTCTCTAAGGTCTATTCTCTAAGGAATGTAGGAAATAGAATATCATAGTAGTAGAAGCGGCAGTAGGAGTAGCAGTGGCAATGATAGGCATAGCAGGAATACAGTCAAGGTACCAGCGGGGAGGTCTCGGGCGCCGCCGCCTTGTGGCAGGTGTTGCAGGTGCATCGAATGGCTCGTGCAGCCAATGGAGCTCCCCTGTTCCAAGCAAGTCCCAACACCATCTTCGCCTGCACAACTCCCCTGCCTCACGCCGACCACCTTACCAGAATAGGACGAATCCCCGCGAGATGTATCTGACAGCAGGCTTCAATCCACGAATGGCCTTATCAGGCACGCCACGATGGGACAAAACAGTCAGGATCTCGACTAGGTGACTACCGTGTACCTCTTGAAAGGCGCCTAACAAGCTAGCAAGATGTTGGAGGAAGCAATGCCGCTGTATGAACCCCTCGATACTGGGAAGTCAGAAATCAGGCTTCTCGAATATGTCAGCTTCTCTGGTCAGCCATCTTTGAGACTGAGTTCGGTATCCCTCGATGAAAAGCCCGCATACACAGCCCTATCATACGTTTGGGGTGATGCTTCCATCACTGAGACCATCCTGTTGAACGGCCAAGAGTTTCATGCAACCAAGAACCTGTTCAACGCTCTTCAGCATCTTCAAGATCATTGGATAGACACATTTCCTGGCCGACATCCGCAAGGCTTTAGAGTCTGGGTGGATGCCCTTTGCATCAACCAACAAGATGTCGCAGAGCGAAACCAGCAAGTACAACTGATGCGCCGAATTTACTCGAGTGCCGAGCTCGTGTTCTCGTGGCTCGGAACGGACGACGAGGAGATTGGCGCAGCATTTGAGACGATCAACCTGGTGGCTCATGAAATGGACAAAGTGGTAGGACGACGCCACATTGGAGGAATCGAGCCGCACGATCTGATCAGCTGGATGAAAGATTGGCCACAGCTCATCGTGGCTGACATAGGACCCGAAAATGACTGGCATTCCAATCAGTCGTGGAAAAGCATTCGATCACTTTTCAACCTACCGTACTGGTTTCGCGTATGGGTCGTTCAGGAAATTGTCTTGGCAGAGAATCTGGTCCTGTTGTCTGGCAAGTCCTCCGTTGAATGGATCGCGCTGTTCCTCACGTGCAGCTGGATTGGAAGGCTGAAGGAGGTTCGCCACTACTTGCAGAAGCCTTCATGGATGGTGGAGTCTGCCTGGCTCAGCATCACGTCGTCCGATAGGGTGCCATGGCACAATCCGATGCGGCTCATGAAGGCAAAGCACCTGCAAAAGAGGCCAGAAATGCTGGGTGCGGACGAGTGGGAGAGCTGGGCCTGGGAACTGATGAGCTGGAACCACACCCTCTCCGCCACCGATCCCAAGGATAGCATCTACGGCTTGCTCGGTCTCACCAAGTTGACTCTGATTCCTGACTACAGTCCAGAAGTTTCGGTCGCATCGGTATATGTCGAATACTTTGACCAATACCTTGCATTCTGGAAACGAACAGGGCAAGGCAAAGAGCTCGAGCTTCTTCCCATGGCTGGCCTACACATGACCATGGGTGCGACTCAACTACCCGTCGAAGTAGACCTCCCGACATGGGTTCCGAACTACCCAAGCGCATGGAGAGAATCCAATAGGTCGTTCGAGCCAATCACAGGAGATGCTGATAATGGATTATTCAAGTCAGATGTCTTAGGTGCTTCTGTCACTGGCGACAGGCACTTACTGGTGTCCGGCATTCGTATCGGTAAGGTAGTTCGCAATCTCCCGAAGCCAACATTATTCGACACTGAGCACAAACTTGTCAAAATCATCGAACAGCTGGGAACCAGCAATATTCGGTTTCCGAACGGAATGACTGCGCAGGAAGCCGTGTTCCGCGCGGTGTTCGAATCAGGCGGTCGCGGTGAAGCTATCCTCTTTCAACATCCCGACGTTAAAGCCAAGATGGCTCTCGGCTTCTTGTTTTACTTGATGTACATCGATCGAGAATTCGCAGAGGAGACTTTAGGGCAGCAGCACCTATTTGAGCTACTCGGTCTGGACGACAGCAACAGCGAGGCGTTTAATAGCAGCATCTCGGAAGTTTTCCTTTCTGGCCACGGCATCGAGGGTCCATGGTTGAACAGGTTCGTGGAGTGGAATCCAGAGGACAACCTATCACCTGAGGTCCATGACCAGGTAAAATCGGGCGTGGCTGCCTGGGACTGGCGTGACCGCGGGATGTTGCATATCGGGGGAACTGGGGACAGCTACATTGGCGTTTCCCGAAAGGACATGGCGGAAGCTGGGGATGTCGTATGTATACTGAAAGGGTCCTCGGTGCCTGTCATCTTGAGGAAGACTGGAGAGGAGACATCGTGGAGCTTGGTTGGCACGTGTTGGGTAGCTGGAATGATGAATGACGAGGCGAAGACGATGCTGCGTGACGGTTCCGTGAACGTGGAGAGATTTGAGCTGCATTGATCGGGGATTCTGTGGTCGTCTTAGCAACATCAAGACGCCAGGCTTGAAAGGCCACGGCAGTCGTGTAGCCTCATTCAGATTTTCCTGAGGTGGGCGTAAAGAAATAGCAGGCTTGTCCATCATAGATGGCTCGCAATCTAGATTCAGTAAAAACGAAGGGGGCTAGACAGTATTCTGTGCCGCTGGTGCCTGAGTATTTCGTCCGCCCCATGGCCTTTCATCCCATGACCGTCACCTGCCTCAACCCACAGCAGTCCAAACCCTTCATAGCAATTCACATTGGAGCGTCTGTCGGGGATGGTGTGAAGGGTGCACTTGGCCGAAAGGTTTGAGTGTGCCCCAACTCACCCATCGACGCTCGCCACCTGCCATTTAAAGACTGTTGTTCGCCCCCGGCGTCGCACTTCAGCACCATATCTTGCCATTTTGTCATTCGCATGCATTTTCTTTTGCCTGCTATGCTAAGTACTATTATGTTGCCTGCATGATTCTTCTAGTCTCCAGGGCTCGGATGCTAAAGGTCCTTGGCGGTTCGAATCCCATCGTGGCCACTCTTTCTTTTCTTGGCCATTTTCACGTCCGCCGCGCGAGCATGTACTTCGAATTGATAATACAGACTCCTCCTTCTATACAATTACTGTTCTTAAATGGCGACTGAAGTCGTTCGAGAGACTAGGTATTCGACGAAAGCGATGCCTCTGGGTAGTCTAGGCTCCTTCGCGATCATTCGAAAGGCGCCCGTAATTTGACATCCTGAGAATTACGCTCCCCCGATCGGGTCCTCATTGTGCGAGCCACATTCCCCTTCGCTTCATCTTCAGATTCCTCCTCCTTGCTTCCACGTAGGTCAAGAAAATCCTGAGGTTGCGCTGGCGCCTTTACTTACTTACCTAGCCTAGGTACGTCTTTTTTTTCAGCTTTCAGTACTTGACTTCACCAACACGCCACCAAGAGGTACTTTCTCTGGATCCTGAAATTCTCTTCCCCAATCGTATAATACTCAGAGATTTTGCATGACCTTGGAAGAAGGAAATGACTGCTGTCGATGGCTTCCTCCAGGATTGGGACCTGCATCAAATGCACTAACATCCTCCTCCGTATCGGACCGTCCCCGTCCTCGGCCCGGACCCGGAGCGGGGCCGACGTCGAAAAATTGCCCGCTCCTGCCCGTCACACTGCAAAACGATCCTTCAACGTTCGATTTGTGGAGAAGGTTGCACCGCTGCCCGCAGCAGGAACACCTCCCCCCCTGCTCGTTCGATTTTCAGGCCCGCGCACCCGAAAAATCCACGCTAAGATAGACGAAAGGGGAGCGGTGCGATAAGACGTCAAGCACGAGCCAACAGATTCCCCAGTTCCCAAATTTTTTAGTTCTCTTTCCCGTCGCTTCTGCGCATCTTCTAGACGCCGATCGTCAACAGCCTCAACCTGTCGCAACCTCGAGATCGCCCACGCACTCGGATTACCAGAATCTCGAGTCTTTCGGATGACCAAAAAAACAAATTCTCCATACAATCTAGGATACTAGACCACCTATACACACACACAATGGCGCCAACCTCGCCGTCCGCCTCCGCGGCAGCGCCCAAACTCCCCGCCTCAGCAGACTTCAACGCCCTCTACAACCGCATCTCCCTCGCCTCCGCAAAACAAGCAACCTTCCTCACCTCGATGCGCGCGAAATACCCTTCCCTGGCACGATCCTCTTCGAAATCAACCTCAGAAATCACACCCAGTAGCGCTGCGCCAGGCACCTTCTCATCAATGTCGAAACCCGTTTCCTCAACCGAAACTACAACCACAACCACCTCAACAACAAGCCGTCCCCGAGCTGCCGCCGACGACGCAGACCTCCGCTTCGAAAACCCAAACACAGGCCTCGGCTTCGCTACCCCCAAAGTGGACCAGGCTACCTCCGCCGCAACGCGGGATCTAAGCCGCCGCCTTCTCGGCAACAAACGCGGAGGCCGCGGCGCAGACGATCCCAAAGCCCTCGCCGCCGCGGCGCTGAAGAAGCGCAGACTACAAGATGACGAGAGCGACGAGGAAGAAGGGAGGGGCAGCTGGGGTAAGAGCAAGAAGAAGACAAAGGTCCGTCAGGAGTCTCCTGAGCGCGAGGTGCTCGAACACCCGGCCGCACGAGGCGATGTCGAGATGCGCGAGGGCGGATTGAATGACATCAAAGACCAAATACAAAACAACCTGCAAGACAGCAAGGAGCATGCTCCGGTCCCTAGTCCGGCCCACGACCAGGAAGCGATAGCGGCGATAGACCCCGCCGAGGGGAAGGCCGATAAGCGACCCGAGACAGACGAAGCCGCAAAGGAAAGGAAAAGGAACAAGAAGAAGCGGAACAAGGAGAACAAGAAGAACACGCTGGCGGCCGCCGCGGCGGCCTCGGAAGGTGACGCCGGGGCCGCACAAGAGATACCAGTGGCCTAGGAGGAATCATAGTCCGCACATGACGAGGGCAAACTGCGGATCGACGACATGTTGCAACTCCCTTGACCCGAGATGCCGGGACATCATCTCGCCGAGAACGCCGCTCTCATCCCTTGAGACCCTCTGGGAACTGCATGTGCGGCAGGCATCAGCGATAAGTCTCGGAAACTGTCGAATCACACAACTGCCGCAGATTGGCTGGTAGTCACAATATTGGTCATGGCAGCTTCGCATTAGATCTAGCCAAGGCTTATTGAGCATGTGCCATCAGGCCATTTACAAGCCACACATAGCTGCTGCTTCTGACCAAATGCCTCAATATTTAGATGTGAACATGTTTTTCTGAATGATTTCCCATTCCTACCGCATCCCAAATGCAGCTGTCGCCAATTACACCCCGATATGGACAGTTTTGGACAAATCTTAACAAACCTTGCCGCCTAACGTCCCTTGGGTATCCCGTCTCCTGAGCTCCGACCGCAAACACACAGCCTCCATCCGAGAGTGAATAATGTGAAATGAGATGTGGGATCCGCACTTGTTCTGCTTGATGAGACGCCATTGTGACGCTGAATTACTAGGGGTGCTGGTTTATGATGTGTTTTTGCTTCACGCAACTCGGCCGTGATGCATTGAATAACACATGGTTGATATAAATGTGAAACTTTTTGACGATGTGAAAGGTTCAGAAATCCGGTTGGAAGTCGAGGTTGACCGTAGGTCAATTGTATTATGTAGTGGCCGTTGGCTTCGTGTGTGTTCCGGGTCTCGATCCTGAAATTTTGGTTGTAGATATGCAGCTGTGCAAATCGTGTACTGACTCGAATATGATCCCCCTTTGTTCTATACAATGAAAGGAATATTTCCAGGAAATCATCGGATAGTTGTGTCTATCTGATATAGAAATGTACGGGCAGGCGCCCGAGGGGTGTGCCATGCATAAAGATCCAACGGACGACACCGAAGGAGGCAGTTGTTTTGCTCACTGCATACGCTTGCGCTTCCGATCATCGTCGCCTCGGGGATCTTCGTCCTCGTCGTCCCGCTCAGCCGTGTCAGTGGGGTTGAGGATATGCGCCATACTTCCGCGACGCGTGGGTGGTCCAGAGTGATCCCTAATGGCCAAATTCTTGTTGTCCCGGTTGGCCGAGTTCCACGACCAGTTGCCAAACGTATCCCCTCCACCGCCATTCGAGAAGGGCGCGCCAGGAGGTGTGGTCGGTCGCGATAGAGGTCGTACTTGGGTCGCGTTTTGCAGCGAGTAGGTGGATAATGACTCCCTCAGACGCTGGTCCTCGGGGGCGAGTCGACTGGGCGAAGATGGCCAGGGACCGGAAGGCGGTCCTGATGGAGGTCCCGAAGCAAACGGCGGCGGAGCACTGGGCTGCCACCCATGTGCACGTATATCAGCCGAAGTGTGACGTCTTGCCAGACTTCCAGGAGGCCCCTCAACCTGGGCCAAGGGATGCGGCCCCGGAGGAGGCGGAGGCGGCGCCCCCCGCAAGGGAGATGAGGCCTGTGGCACTGAACCACTCCCAACTGATCCACCACCAATCGAGCCATAGGGCCTTCGCGTGCTGATTGAAAGGTTTGAAGGCACGGGAGGACGGTAGAAATTCTGCCCTCTGGGCTGGGGAACAGCAAGATTTGCATTTCGTCTCGGGTCATCTTGGGGTAACTGCCGCGGCGAAACTGGTGCATTCTCCACGTTGGTGAAGTACGCTCGACTGCTTGCAAATGGCGACTCCTGGGGATCATCAATAGTTCGGAGCATGTCGGCCTGTCTTGCCATTTCCGATTGCAAATTCAGAACTGGTTCGTGTGGTGTTAGTTACAAGCTACGTGGATTGCAAGAGACGCAACTCACCATCCCGGTGCATTGGGTTGTCGGGACTAGGGACAAGACTGAGGACCGTTCTCGATAACTCTTGGTTGAACTGGAGCAGTCGCGACATTGTCTCCATCACCGCTTGCTGCTTGATGTGCATGTAATGGGCATTCTCTTCACTTCTCTGCAATCGCATGCTGAGGTCGTACAACGTATGCTCTAGTCCCGGCATACGCATTTCGGAGCCATCGCTTGGGGGCGGCATCGGTTCCGCAGGTGTTCCGGGCTGTGAAGGGCTCGGCTTTGAGTTGGGATATTCCCGGTGGACAAGAGCATGACGTGAAGCTCGCCGTTTGATTTCACGTAGTCCGACCAGATCGCCTCGCTTGAAGTTGCCGTTTCCATGTTTAAATTCCCACAAGGCGGTCTCGGGATTTGTAGTGTGGAAAACGTCGCTCACTGTTGCATCGATTAGCATAGGACATTATGTGGCCAGAGGAGGTGCTATCGAACCTTTGTGGAACCCGTACATATTCAATTGTCTGACAAAGGAGGATATGTTGGTGTGCTTGAAATATTGACTAGTGGGCAGTGAGTAGGTGAAGGATGTATTCGATAGCGTGTCAACCTACGCGAGGACCTTGGAAAAATCCGCAGACGGTGACATAACGAAGCTCTCGGCACTCGCTGACCATGATATCAAATGCTGTATGCTGGGGTCCTCCAGCATACTGAACAGCGTTAGCTATGTTTCTACTAAACAACGTTCTAGGTTCCTACTCACCTGTACAGCTTGTGTATGAAAGCTGTCTGTACAATCTTTGGCTGGTGCACGGCCGCAGCCGCAGCTGCGGGCGCGGCGGGCATGGCGATCGAGTTATGCGCGGATTGGTCTGTAGGCGACGTGTGCTTGGATGTGCCGTTGGCGTCTGTGTCGTTGTTCTTACTCGAAGGAGAGGTAGTGCTGGCGTTGTTGGAGGAGGTGATCTCCATAGGCTCACCGGGAGATGGAGCAGACATTTGGATGGTCGGGGTCGGGGTTGGGATAGGTACAATGCGATTCGGAATCAGATCGGCATGACCGTTAGCAGGCAGAGGAGCTCTCTGCGGACTCTCAGTCACTGTGGCCATCCCCTCTGCAAGACGCAAGGATCCGGTTAGCTCTAGAGACACGGGCGCAATGGATTGCGAAGAGAATGCGGGTTTGGGAATGGCAGGGAAGACAGGAGAAAGAGTTGGAGCGGTATCGAGGGCGGCCGCGGTGGGTTTGAGAAGATGGTTGAGGGGCTTGTCTCACCTCATGGCTTCGCAGAACGGTAAAGGCGATGCGGGCGGGTTCTGCAGCGATGCGCGCAGAGAAAGACAATGGGATAGGTCTATCGCGGGAGGTATGGGATCGGGTGGCTGCTCGAATCGATTCTTGTGTTGAGCGGTGCTTTCAAGCCCGTAGACAGCTTCGCAAAGAAGGTTTGCCTTTGTATTGGATTGGCGGGAAACGGTAGCGACGTTGGTTGAAGCAGGCGAGCGCGAGTGGGTGAGCGGGTTGGAGATTGGAGTGTCCAGCCGTGGTTCGGATCTGCTAGGTAAGGTAGACAGCAGGCCTTTGTTCCAGGTGCCGGCAGGCTTCCAACGTCGGGGGACTGCCAAGCGGATGGATCTGCTGGAATGCGTCCAGATTGGCAGAGTTGAAGGTAAAGATTCGGGGGTGTTCTCCTCGTCCAGATGTGTGGCGGTACTCTCAGCGAAATAGGGATGCGTGATGCAAGAGAGATGGAAGTGTCGAAGTTCTAGAGTTCGAAGAGAAGGAGAAGGGTTACCGAAGGCCAGGGCGGCCGGAAATATGACGACGAATGAGGGACAAGGACGGGAGACTGGGGGTGGGTGGTTGTGGTGCTGGTGCTGCTTGTGCTGCTGCTGGCGAAGGTTTAAAGTGGCTCGACTAGATCGATAGTCGGTTGGATCTGCGAGAACACAGGAAGAAAGAAGGCCTGATTAAGGAGAGCAAGTGCCACAAGAATTGCGGGATGGTGTCAGGTAGCGTGTACTCTAGACTGTGATCCAGCAGTCAGCTTCTAAGTGGACCGGTCTAATTGCGGCGTCGATGTGTCAGTCAGTCGGTAAACCCAATGCTTTGAGGTACCTTACCTTTCGTCGTGTGTCTGGGTCAAGGTTGAAGGAAGAAGAGAGGGAGCAAGGGCAGCAGTACCTTAGCCGAAGAAGCATGTGTGGGAGGAGGAGTGCGAGAGTCGAGTGGTTCATGTGCAGCTCTGATTGCTGAGCCCAAGCACAGTAACAGTAATGAGGGGGGGAAAAGGAGAAGGCAAAAGTAATAGAAATCAAAAAAAGGGATCTTATCCAATGTCAATGGCCGAAAGTGGGAGAGAGAAGGAGGGAGGTGTGGCGCCCGTCCCACCATGAGCACCAAGTGAGGATGTTCAGAATGTTCAGGTCGGGGAAAGTGTCGTTGTTGATGGAAGCTTGCTGATTGGGCTGGAGGAGGGGGTGGGAGGGCATCCGCGGGCGTGTGAGATGGACGGCCTTGCATGGGGCGGGTCCCAGGTCACTTTACCTTGCAGCAGCGAATTTTAGGGGTACGAAGTACCTAAGGTACCGATGAGACGACGGGAGCTCCTGCTCGGTCACTGACTTCTTCTTTCCTACCGCAATCATTCACTCACCCACCCCAGGTAAGGTACGTACAGTAGGTACCTCACCACAGACATGAGATATCTCACTCTCTTATTCACACACAAACACATGGGACATATTCGTACATAGGTATACACGCGCTATCTTTGCCTTTTTTCTTTCATCTCGCTCACACACACACACACACACACACACACACACACACACACACACACGTACCTACCTACCCTACACTGCTGCACACCACAGGGCAGGTGGCACGGCAGGACAGAAGATGTGCAATGGAAGATACCGTGGAAGCTCAGGAGAGAAGGGGGAAGGGGGGTCCGGTCCCCGCCAGCTGAAAATGGGAATGGACAGGTGGGAAAGCAGGAAAAGGTCACATTCAAACCAATGGGTGGGTGGGCACAGCTGGAGGGGGGGTCGTCTTCTCCTCGCTGGGATCCCAAGGCGCACCCCCTCCTATAGAGAATTGGATGTGGGTGTAGATGCTGGGGTCCCTAGTGGCATTCTCCGGAACAGGGTCAAAGGAACAAGGTTAAGGCCGATGGGTGAGCTGCCAGCCAGTTACTCAAAGTCTCAAAAGGCTTCTTCTCCTGCATGTATCGTCCCGTGCCTCTCAGTATGGACGAATACACCTCTAGGTATTGTATTCTTGCTGTGGGCAGTCAACGCACGTTGAGATGGATAGCGCCCGCCGGGATCCCGTACCGCTCAGGGTCAGATTTTGGCTCGTCTGTCCGTGTCTGTCTAGGTACCTACATACGCCATGAATCTGAATCGAAGAGGCGTTGAAGCCCCGTCAAGATGAGATGAAATGCGAGTCCTGATGTCTGAACCCCTGACGAGACTCTTTCCAAATTTGGCCAAGTTTGCTTCTTCTTTTGCCAGGTCTTTGCTATCATGCAATTCAAATTCACAACGCGTCAAACATTATGATGAAGTACTTTAGCAGGCAGGGAGAGAATCGACATTTTCATCCTCCAGGCAGTCCAGACTTTCGATTGGCGAAGCTCATGATGCTGTTAGTCACAGTCATCTGCTCATGCCCACCAGGTCTAGAGCAGCACAAAGAGCTTCAGCCGCACGATGTCTGGAGCATCAAAGAGGTACATGACAGCAGGTAATGTCTCTTACTGATGAGACCGAGGGTTCGCAACAGTGTCGTACAAACTTCGACGCCAATCGGACACAAGGTAAAGAGATAGGGCAACGAGTGACGTCGGGTCAAGTACCCTGCGTTGAGTCTAGTCCGCGCCTATCTGCCCTTGGCTGTCGTTTTCTGCCCTGCTAGGTGTCCCATCGAGGACAGAGTACCTTTGCGTACAGATAGAGAGAAGGTACCACACGACTTCTCATATTGAAGTTTACATCTCTGGGGCCTGAGCAGCACTCTCTGCATTGACAGCCGCATGACTGCAGGTCAACAACTACCACATGAGGTTGCAGTTGCCTTGGAGAAGAAGTTCGATTGACGGTTTGAGCCACGATGAGCGAGCAAAAGGTACACCACCCACTCAAGGCGTACAAAAGACATGGGCCGGTCTTTGGAGCGCCCGCCCGTAAGGGACCCTAAGACCGCCGGATGATGGACCGTCAACTCGACTGTGTTTTAGCAGCACATCTTCTACTCAGCCGCTGGTCGGAGCCGGCGTCATGGCATCAAGTGTGTGGTCCTGGCGTACCTACCTTAGCTGCGCGTCTGCTTCTTCGAAGCTTTGAAGCTCTAAAACCCATCTCTCGACTTCCAGTTGCCAAGACATGTGCTTGCTTCGGGAACATTAAACCCAGAGACGCGTATTTCGTTTTACTCATTCCCTCTGATTTGTCAGTTTTGAACATTTCACCTACCTTACCCAGTAAGTGTACATTCGGGCTGTTAGCCTTGGATGTAAAGAAGGAAAGAGTCTTTGCATATCCTGTACCAGTCAAGGCAGAGTCATAGCAGGTAGTGCCTCGGATACCTCAGTCAAGTTCCGAAGATAATGGAAGGTATCGGTAAGGTGCAAGGTAAGGTAGATGGAGATGTCTTCTTGCCGACTTGACACCTCGGAGTAAGGTGGTAGGTATGAGGAAGGGTTAGCACGAGGCACCTTTCTACTTGCTTTGCTTTTCCTTGCCTCGTGTCTTTTTACCTCCGTTAAACAAACAGTCAGACACCACGGGTCTCAACTCTTCGTTGCATGTGGCCTCGATTCCTCTTTGCGCATCCCGTCTCTTGCTCTTTTCTTTTCAGCTTCGTTTCTTCGTCGGTCTTTCTAATTCGATTAAATGCCATCTTAAGGGGCATGAAGCCGAAGCTTTAGCGACCCTTCCACTGCAATGCATGTTGAGTATTCAAAGTATCTCAATTTCATCCTTTGCCCTCCCTCTACCTAGTCGTTCTCTAGACCAAATTTTGGTGGTTTCAATCGCCTCCTCCAGGATCAATCAGCCCGCACGCAGGCACAACCGATTCAACGTTTCTGTCGATTTCCCAGCATGTTGCCTTCGGATACGCCATGGCATATGCACATCATGTGGATATCCGTTCAACTTTTCCCGTGCCCCCTTAGACTGTCCTCTCCACTCTAAAGTCCGTTTTTGTTTTCTTTTCCCGTCATTCGATCCCCAACTCCTCGTTTCTCTGACACGCTGTCTCAGTCATGCAGCTCAAGATCTCTTCTCCAATCGCCCGGTCCAGGAAGCTACAAGATTACCATCTGCGACAATCATAGTCTTCCAGCCAACCCCGTCTCCTAGATGCCTAGATGCGGCCGCGACCAGGAGGGGGTGTGGGTGGGGAAGACACCATCCTAGCAAACCAAGCTCATCTTCTGCTGAGAATGAGATGCGATGCCCAAACCTGCGAGGCAGAACCCCCTTCCACAGCTTCTGACCGGCTGCAGCTGGAAGGTCAGTATCAGGTTTCGATTGACCCAAACGAGAGGGAACAGATTCTACTCAGTCCTACACCACAACCACCACCTCACCCTTTAGCCATCACCACTACGCAGAAGCAAACATTGGTGCACGCCAGGATCCTACGAGCCGTGCGGGCTGGATCATGCTGCTACCGAGATGCTCTGTGCTTTCTTTCTGCTTCAACAACACCAGCCTATCTATCCGTTGCCCAACTGAACAATCCGGTTCGTTGACTACATGTCACGTCTGTGTCCGTTCGACGGCAGGGAGACGACAAGGGAAACTGGCGGGACTCTTACCGAGCCGAAGGTCCCCAAGCTCCCCGTCCCAGGGCCTAGTTCCCCCGGGCACGAGCAGATGCTTTTACAACTGACAAGCCACTCGGGAGCTGCATTGCTTCCCTAGAGTGGTGTCGAATCTCGATCAACCGTGGGCTTTGTCGACTATCCTGGAAGCCGACTGGCCAAGAGATTGTGCCTGGCTGTCTTCGCTTCGGGCCTGTGCTCTGTAGCACTGCGAACGGTCCAGTATGTGGCATGTGGAGAGCCATTCCTCATCAAATTGAGCACGCAAGTGCTTCAGAGCGGCTTTTGCGCAAGCCCTTTTGCTTCCTGTGTCTTACCGTGGCGTGATGATGGCCTCTGCCACTCACCCAATGAAGGTTGCTTTCGCGCCGCTCAAAGCAGGCCGTCATCTTAACCAGAGGTTCGAGCTAGTGGTGGTGCGGTGCTTGTGGCAGCTAACGCAGGACCACAGTCAGTCCAGGAATTGCGGAAGATTCGAACCGGCCAGACGGTGCACTTCTGTTTCAACGGCTTCGCTTCTTCGCGATAATATCCACAATCCGCGCGAGACGGCGAGGGCAGACACGATAAAGCCATTCGCCTTCAACCGACCACCCTAGCAGAATCTAGCAGAATGGCCGTGAGCTCGGTGCCTAGATGCCTAGTTGACAATCGGGCCCGTTGATGCAGTACACGCGCAATGATCACTCTGTGTCAAGGAGGAACGCACAGAGACCCATAGGACAAAAGTCGATTTAAGCAAACATCGCATTGCTCTTGGCCGGAAGCTCTCGAGATGCTATTCACCAGCCGCAAGAGCCTTCATCACGGACAAACGAATCAAGAGGTTGGATCCATGCAGTCCGTGATGAATCAGAGGAGGCAACTGGAAGCGCAGATTCAAGATTGAATCATCAGGATTCAGCAGGCATGTGCCGACCCCTGTGCCGTACCAAAGGGACTTGATAACCATGAAAACGCTATTTCGTTACTATACCCTGCTTGAGAGCTGACATCAGAAGCGAGGAGGTCACTGATCAGCAACCAGGGAGTTTGCGGCCTGCCATACGTTGTGCCTACGGGAGGCTAAGGAACTTTGCGACAACGAGGATCTGCAGCTACTCAACATCAAATGGCCCATCTGGCACCTCAATTTCAATGTCAAACTGGCTGATGTCAGCGCGAGGATATCGGCGTCTTTACGCCAAATTCTCCGCAGACTGTCCGATTTCTTCTCGCGGCTTACGCCATCCTCGGCCTCTGAATCATTGCCTACTCTAAATATTTTATTGAGAGTTGAATGGGGGAGCTGGAAGACCATGGACCGGGCCGACGAGGGGCCAGCCAGCCATACTCGACCGAGGGACAAAGCGTCGAGCAAAAGCCCTGAATTTCCCCTCCAACCCCTGCCCTGGTCCAAATCTAGACGACGACGTGTGCTTGTCACGATCTTTACTACGGACAGGACTCGTCTCAGAAGCTCCTGCGAAAAACACGAAGCTATCGTCTAGTTCTTGCATTCCAATGGGCCAAGACAAGGGTGCTTCCAAACGTTGAAGAGAAATGGAGTGCACCCCTCCCCGGTCGCTCAGTCAGCGCTGAGCACTGGAAGCAGGTTCCTCATGGCACTCATTCCGATATTTGGATACAATTGGGTTGCCTTTTCCCGCGAATCCAGACACAGTCACAGTCACATGCTTGAGACTGTCTTCAACCGTGCCTGGGACTATTCCCTCCGGCTCTCGCCTCAAAGCTTGCTATACTCTTCTGTTTTGAAAACAAGATGTCACGGCCATTCAGCTCTGTCTTGGCGCATCCTTTGAGCCTCGGGTGCCCTTAGCTAAACAAGGTTTAGGTGGGGTTTTCAGCGCAGAAACGTTGACCTCGTTACAAGTCGACATCCGCATCTGCAAACTCTTCCTAATCGCAAATGCGCCTATGGATGGTGCCCTCCAGCGAGCGTCATATTCAGGTCATTCCAACGACGGACTGCTGCTGCCACACTACCGGTAAGTCTCTAATCCTCCCTGGGAGCTCTTTGCATCCACCTGAACCAGCTTTTTGACTTCTTCCCAAACGAAGGAGTTTGTGGATGGCGGTCTGAGCGAACGAACTGCAGTCCCAACGTTTCAGCGGAACCGCTATCCGTCCAGCCTTGTGTGATGACCGGACACTTTGCTGGACAACGCACTCATCATGTCAGGATGGAAGCTGCTACAGGCAACTGTTAGATCGAGCACCTCAACATTGTCGATCCGACAGTGTTCTCGACCAGCACTGGCTCCCTACGAGTACACCACCATCTGTGACCTAGGGCCCCGGCCATCTCCATGGTCCGCTCTTGATGTAACGCGACCCGGGTCCGGCGAACTCTTTCTGCAGCAAGCGTTCTTTCTGTCTGAAGAACATTGAAGATGTAACGTCGACGCTCGTCTGACGGCGAATCACCAAGCTTCTAGAAGTTCGACTCATACAATTGGCTCCCGGATGCCCCTTGAGAATTGTTCGACCCGGAGCTCCTGGTGTATCTTTCGTCTCATCTCCAAGTTACTGAAATAATTCTTCAAGCAAATCGCTGCGCGCCTTTGGGTACCACATTGAGGCCCAGAGCAGACTAGCTCCACGAACCTGCTCTACACAGCATGGTGACTGGTTCCGTGGAACGACACATCCGAAGCCAAAGAAGAAGCCCATGACCGAGATCTACCCCTTTCGACTTGAACTCTAATTCTTGCATTCCCCATGTCGTATTCCGGGTATGGTTGTTCATCCTTCCGCCCCCTTGCCTAGTCTGCACCGGACAGATCCCGCGGGTAGCCTACGTCTTACTACGGTATGGCCGTTCTGCAAATAGGACAGGGTAACATGTCGCAATCACGACAGCATGCATGCAAACAAATGGCGACGCGTCAATAGGTGCGTAGCATGGGGTTTCCGTCCTCACGGCCAAGCATGGCACCTAGGCCTCATTGTAAAAGCAACAGGCAATGGGACGGACACACTATCGACCTCCCAACTATGGTCACCGTGTACCGGATCCGGGCCGCACCTTGCCGCCCCTTCCTCTTTTCCTCCTCCACAGTCCTCGCGCACACAGGGACGAAGAGTGCTGCTGGGGATTCGGCAAAGTCTTCCGAGAACGACCATGGCGTCTCGGTTGGACTGCCGAGAGAGAAACATGACACGAAGGCGGCATGGCTTTGGGACAACACATCTTTCAATCTTGAACTTAATCGAAAAGAAGTTGAGGTTGTGGTGGTGCAAATACTTCGACAAGGGTCCCGCAAGAAATCCTTGCTTACAGCACGAGGATGGAAGCACAAAACCAAACAAGAGACATCTTCTTTTTGTTGTTACAGTCGGTACGTATGGTGGTCGAGTCGTCGCTTTGGTCCCTTTCGTCTTCGGAGTTGCAGCTTTACTTTCCACGGAGGAGTGTCGGATCCGGGGGGTTGAGTGTTTGGGCTTATGCACCCATCACGTCCGACATTATGCCGTTCGAGGCCGGGGATCCAGGGGCATCTTCTAAGTTCAGGATGGGCACTCTCTGGAAGAACCTAATGTCCAAGGAAGGGAGGGGGCAAACACTTCGATCAAAGGTCAAATATCGACACTACGGTCCAACACAAGGAAAACATCGGCTCGGAAAGGCCGCGAGGACCGGTGCCATGGGTGCCGCCCTCGTGCCTGTGCTGCAGAGAGTTCCACGTATGGGAGATGAACCGCGACACATCCTCATCAAAAACAACGACACGGACAGATCTCCGCCCTTTGCCCTGTGATATTTCGTTTCCTTGCGGAGAACACGACGTACTTATTCCTCGTATTATTCATACCTCTCTGTCCCGACTCCGTATTTTAAACATTTTACAAGGAATACGAAATGGACGACGATGACTCCCAAAAGCAAAAAAAAGAACCTCTATCCGTACGGATACCGCCTCTGTATTAGCTAGTCATTCATTTCACGTCTGCGTAAAAATAAAAATAAAAAAGACAAACGCAGAACTTGAAGTAGTCACTATCGTATCATCGTCCAAACGCCTTTCCTTATACTGACGGGAAGGACCCATCCAAACAACCATGAAACCCAATTCCCGACATGGGGAGTGACGGGGGTTAGCCTCCTTCCCGAGGTGACCATCCAAGCCATGGATGGTTAAGAAGAAGGAAAAAGTCTAAAAGTCGCCATCGTCGACATCCATCCCGCTTACTCTCCGCTCTCCGATCTCGCGGATCTTGTCGCCCAGGATCGACCGTCCGTACCGCTCCGCAACCTTACCCGCCGCCTCAACCATACGGCCCGTCCGATCGCGCATCAGACCCACCAGCTCCAGCGCCCGCATGCCGCGCTCCTCGCCCTCGCGACACTCAATGGCCAGCATCTGCAGCAGCGTCTTGTCGAGCTCGAGCTCCAGCCGCGCCAAACCCGTCCTCTGCGAGTGCGTGGCGTCGGTGTGGTCAATGAGGTCGCGCAGTTGGGCCGAGTGAATGCCGGATATCAGCAGCTTCTGCTCCAGCTTGCGCGACTCGCGACGGCCCTCGTCCTCCTCATCGTCTGCGTTCTCCCCCTCCGCACCCTCCGCATCCGAAGCCGGCGCCGGGGCGGAGGTGAGGGGCACCGAGAAGTCAAACTCGGACAGCAGCGGTCGCGGGAAGTAGGGGTACTGATCCCCGCCCTTGAGGATGATGCAGTGAAACTTCTTGTCGGCTACCGCAATAGGCCAGTAGGTTTCCGTCTTCCTTCCCGACGCTAGACGCGGGAGAAGCTTTGTGTCAAGGAGGGGCACCCAGCAGGCGCGCGAGGGCTTCCGCCAGTGAAGCAGGGTGAGCAGAGTGCCTGTCGAGTCATAAATGCAAGGATCCTGAGTCGGCGTACCCTGCCTGTCAGCGAAACTGCATCTCTTATGTCCGAAAAAAAAAGGGAGGAGGGGTGTGTAAACTTACGCCGACATCTGAGAAGAAGACGCTCTGCAACGTCGCGCCATCGGGTAGTGCGACGGTGTCTTCGTTTTGGCAGATCTCGTCCCGCTTGATGTTCTCGATCGTGTACAGGAGACGGGCGTTGCCGTCTGCGCCGACGGCTCCGTTGCCCATCGTGATGACATAGTCACGCCAGCTGGCGCAGGTGACCATGGGTGTGCTCTTGGGCCGGTAGACCCGGTACGGCACCCCAAAGAGGGTGAAGATGCGTACGTAATTGGCGGTTGTGGTAACTGTAATGAAGGACTCGCTCAACGACATGGCAACTACAGCCTCGCCCTTGGGCAACTCTGTCCGCCAGTCTGTCCGCTGCGTCCATGTCTCGTGCGGACGGTAGAAGATGGTGGCGGGCGTGTTTTCTTGCGGCGGACATGAGAACAGGGCGCCATGCTCCGTCAAGCAGGCCTTGTCGTAGAGGAACGTGTCTGTGAAGTGGAAGTCGCGGTGGAACTCGTGATCGTAGAACTCTACCGTCACAGTGTTGTGGCCGTCTTGGTCGACTGTCCAGATGACGCCGATCATGTTGAGGCACAGATACTTGCGGTTTCCGCGCCAAGGGGTCGATCCAGGTTGGAAGGCCTCATGGAAGTTGAGCGCGAGCTGGCGGCGCTTGCTCGCGCGGTCGCCGTCGTCGACGTCGCCATCGAGAGGCCTCTTTTGCCCAGTCGAGTAGCCGGCGCCATCATCGTCAACAACAAAGCCGTCTCCATCATCGTAGCCGTCTTCGCCGTTGAGGAAGGAGTCTAGACTGCCCAGGGAATCGCGGCGAGGCCGGCTGGGGATCGCAGCCTTGCCGTTGGCATCTGGTCTCCTGGCGTTGTTGGAGATCTCGGAGAGGGGATCGTGGATAAAGGGTGCGGGCTGGCGAGGCAGCTGTAGGAAGCTAGAGAATTGCTCCGTGATGAGGTTGGGGTAGATGTAGACCTCGCCGTCGGATGTCGTGAACGACAGCAGATTATCCTTGGGATGCCATGTTATGTCAATGACGTTGCTATAGTCAAACTTTTGAATTACGCTCTGTGTCTTCGTCTCCCAGATCAAGAGCTTTCCGTCCTTGCCCGCCGTCGCCAGCATCGCGCCGTTAGGCGACCACGCCACCGCTGTGACATCACCCAGGTGCCCGTTGGCAAACGTCCGCTGCTTCTCCCAGTCATTCTTGGACACGACCTGAACATCGTGCATAGGGGTAGGCACCGCAAATGCCCGCCCATCGGGGTGCCATACGATCTTGGCCGAGTTCTCAGATTCGGGGTCGAGAGGTCCAATGATGCCGTCAACCTTGCGGATCAGCTCTGGCGTCTCTGCCGTCATGGAGTAGACGTAGATGATTCCATCCGTACATGCCAGCGCCAAGAGTCCGCCCTTGGGATCAAAGGCAAGATGCTTTGTCGGACGTCCATGGTCCTTGAGAACGCGGATGCGAGAATTGTCTTGGGTATCGACGACCTTGACCGTGAGCTCATCGCTGGCGACGGCACACCACTTTGCGTCGGGGGATAGGGCGACGTCTCGGACCGGTAGGGAAGTGCGGGTAAGGAAGCGTTCGAAAGTAGTGTCCTCGACCGAGTAGACGCTGACAGTGCCGTCCTCTGAACCAACGACGAAGAAGGAGTCCGAAGCGGCGACGGCACAGTTCTGCTCGGGGCAGTCGTCGATGTTGAAGGGCTCGCCGTCGTGGTGGGTGCGGTAGAGGCGGATCGTATTGTTGGAGCCGACGGTGACGAGGCGGGCGCCTGAGGGAGTGTAGGCGAGACGGGTTGTTCCTGTTGTGTGCGCCGGCCTCGGCCGCGGCTTCGGGGCGAGGGAGGAGGCCATTTTGGGGTTGGTGTTTGAGATGTAGTCTAGTTCTTGTTCATGGGTATCTTGGAACTCTTTCTGTATGGAAGGTATTGGCGACTGAGAGCGCAGCTGGCTGATTGAGGAGCCGTGGTATCGGCAATTGGGTTCGTGTGGTTGGAGATGGGGTATTCGAGAGAATAGATGTGGTGATGGTGGGACAGAGGCACTCGGAGAGGGACGCGTCCAGACGCGTCGCGAATTCAATTAAAGCAACTTTTTGACAGGCGCGGGACAGGGTCGTTGGAGGAACCCCGCCAGGTACGTACTTCTTCTGAATTGGATTCGTCTTCCATGACCAGCTGGCACCAGGTGTGAGAGCTGTCACTGCACTCACAGAAATGTATCGCAGGCATCAGAATTGATGAGAAATACAGCTTGTGAGTGAGAGTGGGCGACCTGAAGAACAGCCTAGATTAGGCATCACAATTCCCCAAGTTCATTTGCTTGTCTTTGAGTTAATTTAATCGTTCTTTCCACACGAGCTCGAGCTGCGTGTAGGCACTTGGTGCTGCAATTATTGAAAGACACACTTCAAGCAACGATCGTGAGATATACCCCTCAAAATGGAGTCCACCAACCAAGAGAACTTCTTTGAGACAGAGTGAGTGTACATCCAAACGACTACCAAGATCACGGCTGATAATTGTGTAGCACTCAGCAGGAAAAGCGCCAGCAGCGTGCCAAGAAGGAGGGAAACACCTTTGGCAACCCGCTGCGCATGCCCTCTAAGCTTTTGGCCGTCATCAAGGATACCAAGTCCAACAACTCAGTCTTCGTCGCAGAGTCTGGGGGAAGGGTATCCAAGGTGAATACCGAGGTAAGTTTCTCTCATATCTTCAGGGAGAATTCCTTGATTCTCACCTCTAGCCTCTTGAATCCATTCCATCAGAGTGCTAGAGTGAGCAGCACGTCTATTCAGAATCAGAGGCTCACCACATCGCAGACACGAACCACCACAGCAAAATACACCGGCCCCTCCGTCCCAGTAACATGTCTCGCAACAGGCGGCCCCTCCAACAACACCCTCTTCGCAGGGAGCTGGGACAAGGCAATCTGGTCCTGGGACATTGCGACGCGCCGCCCAGGCCGCAAATTTGACGGCCACTCCGACTTTGTCAAGGCCCTCGTCTGCGGCCGCCTCGGCGACAAGACCATCCTCATCAGCGGCGGCGCCGACAAGAAGATAATTGTCTGGGACGCCGACGCCGGCCGCAAGCTGCACGTCCTCCAGGACCCGACCACGACCATGATGTCGCTGCAGTCCCTCGCCATCGACCCCATCCTCAGCAGCGCCGACGAGATTGTCCTCGTCAGCGCCAGCAGCGATCCGCACATTCGCCGGTGGAGGATCTCTCTCGACTCGTACGCGCAGCTCCCCTTTGACCAGCCTGCTGGAGAGAAAGCCGCGGGCGAAGAGAAGCTCACGATCCAAGAGCACGAGACCAGCGTATACAAGGTCCTCTTCGACATCACAGGCGACGAAGTCGACCTCTGGACCGCGAGCGCCGACGGCACGGCCAAATGCCTCCTCCGCGAAAAGGCCTTCACCTCGGAAGACGCTTTTGAGCACGGCGACTTTGTGCGCGCCGTCGCACTGACGGGCGACTGGGTCGTCACGGGTGGCATCAGCCAGCAGATCAAGGTCTGGGACCGGACGTCGGGCAAGCTGTACGCCCTCCTTGACGCGCACTTTGACGAGATCACTGACTTTGTCGTCCTGCGGGATCCGGCGGGGCGGTCCTCCTCGGATGTGCTGTGCAGTGTGGGCATCGACTGTACGTTGCGGACGTGGCCTCTTGATCGCAAGGGGTTGGATGCGGCGGTTGAAGAGATCCGAGTCGCGTCTGAGGCTGTTGATGGACAGGAGGCTGAAGGGGACAAGAAGAAAGAGGATGACAAGGAGCCTTTGATGACGGCTGAGGAGGAAGCGGAGTTGGCTGCGCTGATGGAGGACGATTAGGAAGTACAGTCTAGTCAATGAGATGGGATGACATTACAACTTGCTTCGCATTCTATTGCCACCAAACTTTTAAATCATTGTTTTGAAGCAACGTCTTATGACCTTCTCAACTGTGGTGGTCTTGCCAACGTGATGCAATCATCTCTAAGATGCCGAGAGCTCTCGAGAAGGCGCACAAATGAGGACTTGCGAAATACCTGAAGGTGATCTCCCTATCGAATGTTGAAAGAGCCTAAGATGTTTAAGTGGCACTCTCCCGAATTCGAAAATACCACACAATGGGTTTGCGGATAGTTCTCGACTAATTGACCTTCAAGATCTAATCTCTACTCCCACTTTTGCTAGATGGCGAGGCAGTAGAATGGTGTACTCTGACTTTCACTCCTGTTTTATGCCATGTGAGAATCTCGCTGAATCGTTTACTTGGCCCATCACTTTTCCCGATCAAAGACGTTTGTTTCCGAAGAGAGTATGACACCGTGTGCGTTTACTCGTCGCTTCCGCCTCACCCATACTGCCTCAATGCCATGAGTGTCTCTGCCTGCCCGAGGTAGTGACTATTATCAGGGAGCCTCTCATCAGAAGGGCCACGTTGGCGGCATCACAGTCACAAAGCTGTACGTACACAAAGCAACGGGTCGAATGACGTGACAATCTGACAGAATCTTACATGGGCCTCTGAGATTGACTTGAGAGTGCCAAGGTCATGGTACCAACGTCCTTCTCGAAGTGATGTTGATGTTCTATTTTACTGGAGATGCGGTGTATGTCGACATATGCAACATTCTATGCAGCCGGTCGATCCGTGGCGTATCTTGTCCGCTAGGATGTAGCCGATTTCATCGAGAGAAATCTGACTATAATGATTTATTCGAATGGTCTCCACGTATTGCTCTATGGGAGCTGCCGTGATATACGACGATCGCCACCGTGGTCTGGCGCACCCATGTCCCTTTGCCTCCTACTGGCAATCTCTTAAACGCCGTCTCGAATTCCGCATTTTTTTTTTCATCTGCATTCCCAGAATGCGGGAGCTGACTCCGTGCTCGGCACTTATTTTGGCGGCCCGGTCATCCGGATCAATCTTCCGAACCATGTCCACCGTACTAGGTCGTCCACGGTGTTGGTTGATCATCAAGACTCACGCCAGCAAGTGCCACTCGAAAGCCCGTGGCTGGTTGAGAGAGGCTGCATCGTATTCATACACATCTGCTTAAATAGCTAAGAGAAATTAGTGGCTTCCATAGCTTGCCAGCCCGTGCGAGCATGCGAGGTTCCCGAAACATGGCGACGCCTGACTGCTACCCTAGCCTATCGTAATATAATAAGTGGCAATGGGCCAGAACCACGATGCAGCCAAGCTTGAGCTGAGTTGTCCATCCCAGGGAATTCTAGATAAGATTGGGGAGCTATGGGCTTTTCTTAGAGCCGGCCGCGATCAACGTACGGATTAGGGGGTAAGACTGCCGGCTGGAGGGCTTGTGCGACCAGAAGAGCCGCGGGAGTCTTGAACTTTGAAGCTTTTGACAGCATGTAAAGACGTCTTTAGGTCGACCAACAGATTGTCATGGAAAGGTCTCGGCGGCGCCAACAGATGAAACACAGACGTCGAAAAGAGATTACTTTCTTCGTTTTCCACATTTCCCATCAAACCGCACGGGCAGATCAGGGATCTAGGCACCTAGGCTTCCCCAAGTGCGGCTGTAGATGAGACACTTTAGCCGCTCCGTGGCCACGGCTTGATGTGACCCAGCCAGTACGTTGACGCGGAGTGAGAACGCATTGATTTCTTCCCAGGGTCTACGACTCGTCTATTTAGAAGTGGTCTAAATCGTGGGTGCCACCATGGGTTTCGCGACGCGTTCGAATTCATTGAAAGTGTGTACGTGTGTACTCCGTACGTGTGTAGCGCAGTCTGTGAGCCGCCGGACAATTGTCATGCAGACACAGCGGTACACAAAGACCAAGTGATGCAGGTGATGCAAACAACAGTGTATGAAAACGCGGTAGGGTATATCAAAAAGCCTAGGGCAGTTGGCGTAGTCCCAATCGAGGCAACGTTGTGATCAGTGGCCGCCGTCTCGACGATTCAGATTCTCTGCCGTACAACAAAGGCCGCATTTAGTCTGTTTCAAGCCCTTCACCGCTCCCTCTCGAGAGTCATCCCGTTGCTGCAGGAACTGACTCAAAGGACGACGACGATGACATGGTGGTGGGGAACGCTCAAAGGCTAGCTGGATCAGCCTTTTAGGGCAACGTACTGCCTGGCGATCCGAGAACACGGGACAGGCCCCAGAGGCGCCGCGTTGTGGATTATCGAAGATCGATCTGCTGCCCAGCTGGGATATGGAGCGGCGCTAATCAAGGGTGGCAGATCCCTCTTGAATTTGCCCACGAAAAAGTAATTTGTGTGGGATAGTTGCAGGTAGTTAGTAATTATACGAATTCAAGGCTTTAAATGGTTCAGGACCAACAGTTGTGACTGGTCGATGGAGTAGGCTGCTCTCCAGAATAGCAAGGCAGCTTGATACACTACTGTATGAGGATATCAAGAGCTGTCCTGCTTGTCGTGTCATACAACGTCGGACAGCATTCGGGCCCAGGTTACCAGTCGTACCTGTCTCTGTGGAGTTCATGCTACGCGCTCAGATTCGGGAATGGGAACGCTATAGTAAGTCTGACGGACAGCAGGTTCGCCATATTGACGCCTATACAGGCATCTTGCTGGTGTCTAAGGAAGAGCAAGGCCCAGACAGCCAATAGTTCTTTGCCGGGTCATCAAGTCTAAAAATACCCGTTGCATTTCCATTCTTCGTGGACGGCGCGGACAAGATGCTGGGACCATGGTTCATCATGTATGGTAATGGCAATGAGGTGAACCTTTTTGCAAGCAGAGTGGTGAAACCATACGAAGTTTGTATCGAGTCTGGTGTTGTGAAGTGCCTGCTTCCGCATACTTGTCTCTTCGGATCCGTCCTACTCATCTAGCCATGCCAAAATAATTACTGGTGGCGTGGCACAAGGCTGTTTCTCTGATGCCTATAGCAAGTGTTCGGATTATGGATTGCACGCGTGTCCGTCACGCCGTTGGCCAACCTAGTTACTCGTAAAAGAGCGAGAACTCGGGTAGACGGTGACGGCGTGTGGAGATGGCGAGTGAAAAGGAGCGCGTAGTGTGGCACAGAGTTCTGGCTAGGGAGCAACTATGCAATATAGAGTTGAATTGGTGGCGCGAGTCGGGGATCTGACCGTGACTGCCTCGGTTCTGCGACACAAAAAGGGGGTTACAGTGTAAAACTCTGTTCGAGGTTTGTGATATCGATAGTCAGAGATTTGCCCGGTTTCTTGAGGTGACCTAGTGATGGACAGTATTCGAAGAGCGGCCGTTTGCGAGGGTCCAGGTCTCGTAACAAGCTGGCCAGGCCCCGTGTGATACCCATGTAGAGATGAGATGAAGATGATGTATTCAAGGAAGTGGAGGAAGCCTTCCGGACGAACAGGCTACAGCCCTTGTCACGCAGGAACAGAATTTCCCTGCAGACACGTGTATGTCGCGCAAAGGCAGGACGCAGGGGGCGGAAGGGCAAACAAAAGTGTCAGGTCCCTCTTTCCTTGGAATCTCTGGTGAGAAATGAACGTACTCCGTAAGCTGCGTGGGAATAAGCAGGAACTGCGAGGAAACGAAGCTGCGAACAAACAGCGAGAGCAGATCCTGCCTTGCCGATTGGTCCTTTTTCCCCGACTAAAAGGAGGCCTGTCGTCGATCGCTCAGATAGGCAAGGCGCATATCGAGTATGCTCCCCCTGCCCTTCGCCCCTGCTTCACCCACGCAATGCCCGCCTGGCGTGAGCCCTGAACCCTGAACAGCCCCCGCCAGCCGCCGTCTTGGGGACCCACTTCCCACTTCGTCCGTCAGCTGAGTGGCCAGACCTGAAGGAACGCCATCCATCATCGCAAAGTGCCGCATCCAGGCGTCCCTTGTTCCAGCCTCCTAAGCCATCCAACTTCCCGATCTTCCCTCTGGTTTCTCTCTTGCACGGGCTGCCCTGTGATCTTGCAAGAGAAAGCATGGGTCGTATCTTGCCTTTGCAGACACTATGAGACGGCATTCAATGGGGAACTTTGCCGGTCCCTTCGGACCTGCATGCTTCCCCCATGCCACTGTCTTATGAGGTAACTATACTCCGGATATGAATACAACCCTTGGCTCGCACTCACCTAGGTCAGTCCGTTCGCCCTGGATGAACAGAAGCATCTGTTTGGCCATCTTTGTTCGTCCGACGCAGACTCGTCGCAACCCTACCCGCAATGAACCTAGAAAGCTGTCAGCCCGGAGTCCTCGCAGACTCTGTGTTACATTCGCTTCGCTTGTTTCGTTTGTCGTGCTAGCAGCCCGCAGTCACAACGTCCGATACTGATACTGTCGATACGAGACTACCTACCATCATGGGTTCGTCAAACGGCTACATGGCTTAGTCGATCAATGATGCAAGTGACGGCGGCTTGAACAACTGCCAAACCAGTCTGCCATTGTTTCCCGATGCTGGACACGCCGACGGACTGGCTCCTGCGACACGCTGCGGTCAAATCGGATTATCGGTTTGGGTGCTAGTCTCAAGCCATAAGTAACGACCAGGGGAGAAGGCGCCGAGGAGCTTGCTCCAAGCCTCCAACTCTGCCAGTCTCCAGTATCGACGTAGTAGTAGTAGCGTAAACCTTTCGTCTAAACGCCCCAGACCTGGCACCAGTCAGCCATCTTGACCTGAAGTGTCTTTGAACGCTACCGTCTTACTAAGGGACGCACACAGTCTAGTTAGCTCGTTAGTGAGCGTTGGCAAAGGGCAAGGTCAGACCAAGTGCGATATCCCACACTGAGAGCAGACGCGCCGTTTCGTGTTCAACTTTTCAATTTCATTTCTTGGTGCGCCTCGGCTTCTGCATCCAGCGACCCAGCGTCACGAGACTCGCCTGCATTGGATCTGAGGAATCATTCGACGACAATAAACTACCTACCTACATCTCCGCATTCCGCTCAAGCCAGAAGCGCCCTTTTCCTTCTACCTGCCATACCTTAAGGTACCTTGAGCACCTTATCGAATCAACTGCCCAATCGCTACCTTGCTACCTTATGTAAGCCCAATTGAGGCAAATGAAGGTAGGCAGGCACCCTGAAGATAGAGGCTCTCATTGACTAAGGCAGGCGCGACCTCCTGCTTCTTGCCGTCTGTCGCCTTCCGTCGCCCCAGTTCTTCCTCAGATAAAGGTAAGGTAAATAACACTGGCAACACACCATTGGATTACGCTACGACTGGAAGTTGACCATAAGATGCCCGGATGAGGTGGATGGCCTCAGGTTGGTTGGTTCGTTCGGACAAGACGACACATCTTTCCAAATAGGCACCCTCAACAAGGCCTCAAGCTTACCGCACCATCCCGACCCAGACATCCGGTCACTCTTTCCACGTCGCATCTCCTTTTTCTCACCGGGAAGCCACTTCGTCGTTACCAACCGGACTAGCGGCTTGGGGCGTAGCTTGGAAACGCGAACTATTTGTCTACTTTCTCTTGTGTCTCCCTAAATCAGGAACATCGACTCGGTAGACCCAAGCCACCTTTTTTGGCCCTTGTGCCGGCGTCCGCGCTTACGTCTCCGCCTACTCCATTACACGTCTTTATTCCCTCCAGACCTACGGTTCTCTTCATACTTTTCCCGCCCGATGGCCGTTGAGTTTCTCCATTATTCGCATCCAAATTTCTCTTCTCTCTTTCGGCTGGTCACTGCTGTTGCTGTTGACTTGGACGAAGCTGGCCAACGTGGAAGAATCTGCAACTGGTTGCACTGATTCACACCTTCCGCCTGTTATCGACGTTTTCTTCACTTCACTAACAAGACCTTCTCGACGATCGAAATACACTCAATTACGCCCCTTGGACGCTCCATCTCATTCTCCCTCCGCGGCGACCACATAATCCATAATCAACTTATCCGCTCGCTCCTCTCACGCCTCACCCTATCTTTATCTCACAAGACTACTCTTCCCCAATGGCCGAGCCTGCTGAATACCATGGCGGCCTCGTCGCCTTCGAGGGCCCCCACGACCTCGTCTCGACACAGCTCCGTCTCCTACCTACATCATCGCAAATTGCTATCCTCCCCAGCGTCAAGGAATTTCTCGAGCCTGATAGTCCCGACGAGCCCTTTGAAGCGCGCAAGTTTGTCAGGCGAGTTCACAATGCTGTCGCCAAGAGAAGAGACACAGCTTTGGAATTCTTGAAGGATTCGACTCCCAAGCGGAAGAGGCTGGTCTTCATGAATGGAGGTACGCCCAGCGCGCAGACTGTCTGCATCAGAGCCATCTCTCGAAACGTGACAGAGGGGGATATCACCAAAGCCGAAGCCATCTTCAACGACCTTGTCAAGGGTGGAGTCGCCGGTCTCGACAATCCCGCCAACTCAAGCGGCTCATTCCTTGATACCTCAGAGGAAATAAGCGAGGACCCCATCACCAGAGCTATGCGTGCTGCCGATGCTCTCGACCGGGAAACTGCAAATTTACAGCCTTCCAGCGACATCGATCTCACCGCTCCCACCGGGCGTCCGCGCCCGAGAAGCATGAGTCTACCCATGTACAGCTTTGCAGATACTTTTGGTGATATGGCATCGTTTTACGTCTTCGGTGGTCAGTTCAGTGAAGAACATATCAAGGAGGAGAGACTGGCTGAAGCTGCGGCTCAGCACCATGGCCCAACACCCACACTCGCCATCACGAATTTTGACGAGCTCGAGAGAGTCTCCGGCGAAGGCTTCGATAGTGACGGCAAACCCATTGTATCCGCTCCACCTCGGTCTCCAAGCTGTGTTGGCGAGTCATATGAGCGTGATGATGTATTCTCATCTTCTTCACCGAACGCTCCTGGCCTTCTCGACGTGGTATCTCCCAGATCCGACGTCTTCAGCATCCGATCGACAGAGCCGATATATATTGAACAAGCATCACTCGTTCGTATGAAATCATCCGCCTCTTCCAGGACATTGAAGCGATCTCAGTCGATCAGCCATCTGCACCGGAGCAACTCACGCTATAGGGACACACTCATGCGGCTTAAGCCTAAGGAGCAAACTGCTGCTGAGAAATCGCCCCTGGAGAAGACTTCGGCTGAGAATTTGAGACTTTCCGCTGAAAAGACTGCCGCAGAAAAGGTTGCTGAGGGCCGTCCTGTGTCGGTAGTGGAACTCATTGAAGACGCCGAGAAACGGGAAAGCAGCGCTAAGCGTATTGAAGGCGCAAAGACAATCTACGTCAAAGCAGCCCGACCAACGAAGGGAGTAAACAAGGCATTGCCCCCCCCTCCACCTTCCGAGAAGAGACTCCGCAAACGCAAGCATACCAAGTCCAGGTCGAAGTATGTCGACAGAGGAACCGACGCCGAAGATGTCGAACTGCATGAGACGCCATTCCGTCCCGTGTTGCCATTCTATGAGGATCTTGTCATTCACTTCAAAGACGACAGCCCGGACCCAATTCTTGAATACATGATCAAGGCATTCAGAGAAGGTGTTTACCCAGTTGTACTGCCTTCTTCCGCCTCTTCCGGCACATCTACCGCCGATGGCGACAGATCGGCCCCGCAGACTCCAATATGGCAACCGGCCGAGCCTGAAGTCACCCAGTTCACGTCCACGACGAAGGTCAGCACAGAAGAGTACGACCCCTTCTCCTACCAGGGTCCCACTTACACCGCGAAGACAGTCCAGCCTTTCACCCGGACTGTGATAAGATCAGCTCTGCCAACACCTGCGCATACACCTCCGCCTACGGTTTCCGAGTCGGAGGATAAGTTCCACGACTTCAACGCTGTGCACGGTCAGACGGCTGTAGCAATGCAGAACTCCCTTAGATCAGTGCTGAACATCTACTTCCCACCCAAGGGAAGGGGTTTCTCTCAGTTCAACTTCCCGTTGCTCCCCGAAATGGACGCACTGTGGAAGCCGATATTCCGTGACGTTGAGCCTGGTGGGAGCCCAAGGAAGGATAATCGTCGGATAGATCAAATCCTAGCCATAGGTGCGCAACGTGGCGTCAAGAAAACCTTCGTCTCTGGAGTGACGAGCCAGCTTGAGAAATTGGGCACAAAGTCGAGCGGTGTTTCAAGGACTGGCAGGCTGGATTTCCGGTAAGTCGTTTGCTCTGTGTGATCATTTCGTCAGTTGATTAACGGAACTTCTCAGATATCTCATCGCAAACGCGATGCAGTCCTTCACTGCACAGCCGCTGGCCAACCAGACTCAAGACAACCCCTTCACCAACTCATATCTTCTGGCGACACTTATCATTCCTCATCTCGAGACTTTCTTCGCTGCGCACTCTGAAGTCCGCTTTCTGCTTCTCGACTACCCCCCGGATCATCTCGCCACCATCCTTGCTCTGCAGAAGTTGGCCGGTGTCGACTTGATGAAAGTTGCCCAGGTCATTGATGCTCAGGCCAAAGAACCACTCCCCTTCACTCACGTTCGAGGTAGCTCCTTGGGGCGTGTCTCTACTGTGAGTGACTTGGCCTCGAGCTCGAGCTCACTCCAGTCTAAGGGATCGAGGTCTGCCGCATCGACATCCTCGCGAGATGGGCTGGCGGTTTCCAGGGCCAACCTTCTTCTCACATCCACTGCAACCGAGGCGGAAGTTGCGACTTTCGTCTCCACTATCTGGAAGATCCTGATCAATATCTCCAAGTTCTACTTGCCTGAAGAAGGCAAGAAGCTTGAAGAGAGTAGTGTCAAGATTAAGCGACAATCTGGGAACTTCTCGGCATTCCCTCAGGCTTCAATGAGCCCTCCGATGTCTCCGCCATCCTCTAGTGGCCGCAAGGCCGCGAACAGGGCATCAGGCTCCATCAGGACTTCGGCTCGACCTTCTTCCATTGCAGAGACAATCATGAGTCGGCGATTCAAGTCTCGACGAGGCGACAGAAAGACAGTCGGCGATGGCGCATCCATCTTAACCGTCGATATGGACTACGAGAGCGATCTAGACCTCGAGGAGAGACGTTTGATGCCCATGTTCCTGAAGAAGAACCAGGTCCGGAAGGGAAACAGCCGCAAGGCTTTGAAATTTCTCGGCCTGGCTTGATAAGTCACGCCGTAACTGTGTACCGCTACTTGCATTTGTAGGGCTCAAATGGCTTGGCCTGCATCTTTTCTTTTTTTCTCAGGAATGACCTGTCACGACGTTTCATGCTTAGTCTCGATACCATGGCATTAGCAGCAGGCTTTACGAGAGTTGTATCATGTTAGAAGAAGAGCCACATCATGTTGAAGGGGGGGAAAGAGGGCCGAGAGATGGATGGATCCTTGGCTGGTTGGTCTTATGACCGATGATCTTGTTCGTTGCTCTTATCATCAGTTCGGAGCGCGTCATCTGTGCGATCTTTCGTTTCAATGGTCGCACAATACCCAGGGATATATCTCCCATAGATACAAAATGAAGACATTCAGAGCGCCTGCATCCTTTCTTCTCGGCCGTGATGGTATTTTCATCAAAGGACCGAAGTATGTCCTACATTCGAAACAGACCAAGTGTAAAGGCCTCGATTGATACTGGAGCTTCGAACAAGACAAACTCAACATCGGACCTATCTGTGTCGTCGTAGCAAGTCAGACCATGGACAAAATACATCTTCATGATCGTCCATCATCCGCCCTGGCAAAGCCACAACCAGAATAAACACCATCCAACTCGGTCCTCTCAAGTCGTCGCACGCCCCTGCCGCCCCAGCACCCGTCATCGTTGCGCACTTGAACACAGAGTCATCTGGGCTAATCGTCTTTCGGAGTGTCAAATGAACAAAGCCGCTAGAAATCATGAGGTATCTCAACCGCGTCCCGGCTTACCTCAAAGCCGTCTCCGCCGCCACAATGCATAGGATTGGGATGTGGCTAAGGTAAGCAGCCGTGGTCCATGTCATGGTCGTTGGGCTTATCGGGAACAGGGTGGATAGCAGAGTCATTCCGGGCGCATGTGACCGCGCGGGGGTCATGTGCGTTCCCACCCCTTTTTCCCCCGTGGGATGTTTTGGGGTAGAACTATTACCTGCACCACCTTACCTAGGCTCCTAGGCAAAGGAAGCGGAGGAACTCCATCCCACGTGAGGCGGACCCGATGACCGGGCCATCCGAAACCCCCGAATTTGCCGCACGTCATACTTCTGGTTCGGCTTGCAAACGCTCACTGGCAGTGGCGGTGGTTTTGACTGAGTTGGCAAACGCCTGAAGTGATTCAGACTGAGGCCTCACACGGAACTTCTTTCACGAAATGGCAACAAACGAAATCATCATCCCCCGGTTGCCTTAGTATCAAGAAGGAAAACGTCACTTGCCCATTACTTCGACCCTATCTACCAGAAAAGCAGCAGCCGCCAAGGAGGGGAAACTAAAAAAAAAAAAAAGACATGTAGTTGGGGACAAACGCGCAGACACCCATACGTACGGCTTGCTGCGTTGCCTATGTGCTCGCCCACTCGCCAACCAAGCTTGATTGCAAAGTACACGATGCGCCAGCAAAGCAAAGCCTACGCATGTAACACACGTCGAGATGGCCTCTTTGTCCCCTCTGCCCCCAGTGGGATCCCTAGAGGTCTTCCACCGAACGCCCCAGAGCCTGGCTTCTGAATCGTCGTTAGGCACCAGGAGTCCTGTCGTTTGCCGTGAACAACGTCATGGGTCCAGTTGCAGAGGTATCTTGTGTCGATTGTGTGTGTGTGTGCAGTGCGGAGAAGGAGCTGGGATGAACCAAATCAACACTCATCTATGCGTAGAAGTATGGAAAGCAGCGTTTGCGCGGAAGGAGAGAAAAGCGAACGACACAGTTTCGTCCGAGCCAAATGTGATCCCTACACCGTCATGAGCTGTGCATTCCCTTCCTCGCCCATTCTGCCCAGCTGTATCCCCTCCGCCGAGAAAAATCCGTAAAATGCCATAGAACACAGGTAAGGAAAGCGGGCTTCGTAGAAATCAGGGACGATACGTTTAGCAGCAGCCACCTCCCGAGTTCGAGGAGACGCCGTGGCCGGGGCCGACCTGTACGGAGGGTTTCGTGTTGTTCGCGGTCGTGCTGCCCATGCGCTCCTTGATCTGGCGGGCCATGGTCAAGAAAGCCTGCTCGACGTTGCTGGCGTTCTTTGCAGAGGTTTCGAGGAAGGGGATGCCCAAGCTGTCGGCGAATTCCTGTTGGCAGGTTAGCAAACAAATGGCCACAACAAAGAACTTCACAGTCCGGGTGGGCGTTGTAGAGCAATGTGGCGCTTCAACAGCCGGCGGAGGTTATCTGACCTTGGCGACGGTGTACTCGACAACCTTCTTGTCGGACATATCGCTCTTGTTGCCGACAAGCAGCTTGTTGACGCCCTCGGTGGCGTATCTGTCAATCTCCTGAAGCCATTGCTTGACGTTGTTGAAGGAGTCCATGTCGGTGACGTCGTAGACGACGCAGATGCCGTGGGCACCACGGTAGTAGGAGGAAGTGATGGTGCGGAAACGCTCCTGGCCGGCAGTATCCCACTACGAAGGAGACAAAGATGTCAGCATTTGCGACAGTCTCATTTCCTCGAAAATCTTCGCCGCCTGGATCAACTCACGATTTGCAGCTTCACCGTCTTTCCATCGAGCTCTATCGTGCGGATTTTCTAAGGTTTATCGTCAGCAGCCGATCGGTCGGCTTCGGCAGAGCGGGAGAGTTCATACAAAGTCAACACCGATGGTGGAGATGTAGGACTCGGTGTAGGTGTCGTCGGCGAATCGCAAGAGAAGGCAAGACTTTCCAACACCGGAATCACCGATGAGGAGAAGCTTGAAGAGGTAGTCGTACCTGCCGTCGGGTCAGTATCGGTGTCGAACCTAAATCACAACGGCTGGTTTCGCGATTTTCACGACAAGGCAGCGAAAAAAGATCGAACAGGCGATATCGATGGAGGGGGTAGGCTCTGTGAGAGAGAACAAGGTCAGCATAACGGCGACTCCCGAGGGATTCCTCGTTTCGCGAGAAGGTTGGTTGAGGCAACGTACTACTCGGGGTTCATTGTGAATAGCGGGGGGGTCTGTTGAAGGCTGGTAAGAGTCGAGAGATTCGGCGGATGTGGGCGCGCTTGGCGATTATATGGGCGTTGTGTAGGTGTTGGGAGGTTGATGGATTTCGGTGGTGTCGTGGTGAGGTTCCAGGTTGTGAAAGCAACAAAGCCAGAGTCAGGACAGGTCAAGTGAGGTGGTAGGAGTCGGACGGAGTAAATGCAGGCTGCTGCTACGTCAAGGCTTCTAGCGCGGTGTACAGAGTACCAGTCGGCTGCCAGTCTCTGATTAGTGCTCGGTGTCCTGTGCCCAGAGTCCTGTGTCCTGTGTGTCCAGTGTGTCCAGTGCGGTGTCCAGTGGGTTACCGCCTGGCAGAAGGAACAAAAGGACCCACGTTGACCTGAGCAGTCAGATGTCACCGACGAATGAAACCCCTCGGAGAGCCTTGAAAGACACGGGATCAAGCACGTGATGCATCTTTTTCAGTGTTCTGGACCGGCTTGAGTGGGGCGGTTCAGACACCTCTGTGGCCTTGGAGAGGCAGGCACAGGCAAAGCGGGCAGGGACGACAGGTTGAGCCTGTCCTTATCCAGTGGTGTCCTCCAGGTGTCTGCGCCTCCACACTTCTGGGACATCTGATTTCGGATGCAGTACGTAAGCAGGTGCCGGGGTCCGTCCTCGTTCCTGCAGTCCTTAATATCAGGGGGCCAAGTGCTACCGTAGAAACTCGAGCAACTCGAACTTGCGCTAGCCCGTGCCAGCCCTGCTAGCGCTATGGCAGAATCGTAATACTGCCTAAAGTGGTTAAATGCGGCCGCCACCTATTTTTGGCGTAGGTTAACATTTCGATCGATCTGACCAATGAGAGCTCGCCGTCGAGGCCGGACCCACAATTGATATAATTCAATAATTATTTTGGCTTTCTCGTCGGTTTTGAGCTTTTCTCGTCGAATTGGCAAAAAGGGCAAAAGTGTCAATTGGAAGCAGTCGTACGTAAGCAACCGAGCCCCTGACTGTCCCCTGGCCCACTGCCTCCAACGGGCCCCTATTCATACGGCGGTTGGACTGTCGGGTCGACGAACTGCCCATTGATGCCATCACGGACTTCCTCTGCTGTGAAAATGTACTCTAACCCGTCGTTCAGAACAGCGAAGTCTGGAATCTCCTCTTGCAGCGTCTCCTGCTCAATGTGGGCTTCTACGTCGAAGAGCTCCCACCCAGTGTAATCGATGGCCTCGGCGGGCACGTCTTTGATCCGGATCTCGTCGACCTGGCTGCCATCGGGCCGAATAGATATTCCGCACTGCAGGAAGGCCTGGCTGACCATTGAGCCCTTCTCGTGGGCCAATTTAGCGGCTGCCGTCTCGACTGTTTTGGTGACCATTATTCTCTTCATACCCGTCTCCCACTTGAGCTCCTCCTGCTTATTCAGCGCTTTTTCTTCCTCGTCGAGTACGTAAGCGTCGGTTGCTTCTGAAAGCCACTGCTTGAAGGGCTTATTGACTGCGGTATCGAGAGGTTGGAGGAGGGAAGTGGTCCCTGGCGGTATGAGGCAGGGTGTGATGTGGTGCTGACGTAATAGCGCAAGGATGGAATCTGTCTTATGGAAGGAAGCGACATCCATTACCAATAGGTACTCGTCTCCCTTAGTCAGCGCTACCAATTCCTCTTCAATCCATCTTTTGAACAAGTACTCATTGTTGTAGGCAGTCTTGTTGAACTCAACTGTCACTCCTTCTGCGTATAATAGGCCCTCTTTTTTCCATAATTGACCCCCTTCCTCTGCGGGCTTGCCGTGGAATATTATTTTCGGTTTAATTCGTTGTATGCCGTCGGCGAAGATGTAGAGTATTAATGTGGCCTGCCGCTTGCCCCAACCGCTGCGGTCGCTCTTGCCAGCCACGGTTTTGGCCCCGACGTCGTCGTATGTGTAACCGTCTAGGTATTCGAAAGGAACTGGGGTCTCGTCGAGGTTGAGAATTCGCGAGTTAGGAAATCGACGGGCTGGACTTCCGAGTAAATCTCCGACGTTAGACCGCTTCACCTTAGCCAGGGCCATTTGATTAACTCGTCGGATAAAGGAAAGAAAGCTGTTGACAACTTTGAAGTACTCAGTGGGTAACTTCGTTGCCTGTTTGGTAAGTCGACGTCGGGTAATTCTCATACGATTCTGGAAGCCACGAAACCAACCGGGGGAAAAAATAAAAAGATGTTTGCTGTTCGGGTTCTGCTGGGCGAAAATCCGCTTAGCGGTCCTTTTGAACCAACTGGTACTAACGAGCTTTCCCTCACTTCGTCGCTGGCGGAAGGCGCCGTATAGCGCTGTCTCGAGCTCTGGCCACTGAGGGTGGTAGGCGTAGTTGGAGGACCGATTGACGATTGACTCGCGGTTCTGATACCAGGAGATAACCGTGCTTCGAGGGACTTTGAACCAATCTGCGGCTTCCTGGTATGTGGGACGTCTGGGAGCTCGGTCTCGCCCTGGCGCAGCCTCGGGGGGCAAATCGACTCTTCGTCGAGCTTCCTCACGCGGTGATGCTCTAAAAACATCAGGACGTTGACTTTGGTATCGTGGGTATAGTGGTGCTGGCGGCGCTTGATTGGGCCACTTCGCGGTGTATATTTCCGGTCTTTGATGGGGGTAGGAGCAGGCCCGCGGCGCTTAGCTGCTGGAGGTGTAATTGGCACTTTTGCCGTATTCGAATCCTTCTCGGCAAGGGCCCGTCGTGAGGGCATCGTGGGCACGTCGACGAGGCCCGTGGTGGAGGTGTAATTGGAGGTATAATTGACAGTATAATTGGTGGTCAAATCGGTGATGTAATCGGTGGAAGTGGGCAGTTGGGTAGGAGTAAAAAATGGAAAATAATCACTTACCGCCTTCCGTATACGGTTTAGTCGATTATATAATCGGATAAAACTGATCCCTCGAAAGGGCTTAGTGTGGGCCGCTAGCAGGGCTGGCACGGGCTAGCGCAAGTTCGAGTTGCTCGAGTTTCTACGGTATTTGTCTCCCATGAAACGCCTCCGCCAGCAGCTGCAACCTGCGGCGGAAGTTTTCTTTGAAATGTCGGGTGGTATCTGATTTGGGGGCTCTTTCAACGTCGGAGAGCTTGTTTCGTTTCTCTCTATCAATCTCGGTTCTAGCGTCTCCCAGTACCCTTGCTCTCCATGAGGCATTGCCACATAAAGCAAGTCTTGAACAATACAGTGATCTCCAGAGACTTTCACAGGCAATCCTTCATCGGATTAGAGAGGCCGTTGGTGCCAAGACTCCACATTCTGCGGTTCATGTGGAGCTCCCCAGGTCTTGAATCTCACTCGTCCCGCATACCTTAGTACTCACCTACACATGCAAACCTTGGCTAGCTATTCATCCACCTTTGATATCTGACAAGGTTGATGATAGTAAGAGTAGGAACACAAAGGTAGCACTGCTAACCTCAAAGGTGATAAATCTTTTTGCTCTTCCTCCGCGTGAAACTTAGTTTCCGTTTAATGAGTCCCGACTGTTAGTCACTATCACTTCTCACTACCCTCTGCTTCAGTTTCGCAAGATACCGATGGCGATGTCGTTATTGAGTGGCCCCAAACGTCGAATAGTAATGACTAGTAGGCATCATTGAGTGGCGAATCCATCTCTGCGGTGGTATGGTCGTCGATTTTGACCGCCGGTCATCCATAAATGAGACTGCGCAGGTTCTCAAAGTCTGTGAAGCAGCTGCGACTTCAGTCGTCATCGGTCTCCTTTTTGGTCACGGCTTTCAGTCCAGCCATAGTCACCGAAAACTCGACAGCACCATCCAGACCCTGTCCTGTACCTTTCGCGTGAGGGGCGAAGACCACTTTCATCCATCGTCGCCAATTCTTGAGCGCCGGCATGCCCCGATCATCGGCTTCATCTTCTATGTGCCGGTGCACCCCATACACGGGCTTCTTGAAAAGCGCGACGCGGCACGCAATCTGTGTTGACCATACAAGACCTAAACTGGGCGTCTTGAGTCCATAATCGGCTAAGGGATCGTCGCCCCATCCCGTAAACCACCGTTGCTGGTGATCAAATGCGAGCGCGGGAGGTGCAGGTGGGCCAAAGTCATCCAGGCCGGGAGGCTCAGGCATGCTAGAACGAACATGCTCAGCTATAGACGATGTAGGCTCGATCACCGACGGAGAGAAAGCTCTCGGCCCTCTGCTCCGTGATGCCAGTGGACTTTCTTGCGTGAAGCTCGGAGCAGCAGTCGTAGGCGCCGCCCTAGGGGTTGCCATCGGCGCAAAAGGACTGGAGAAGCGATCGGCGACTTGGTTGGCGACAACAACAGCCAAGTTGTATTTTTGGGCTAGCTCTCTAAGCAAAGCTCCAAGTCGCGTGAGCTCGTTGCTGCGAGCTCCCATGTTTGACCCATGATTGCCAAGAGCCCCCCGCTCAAATTCGGCTCGATAATTAGAGGCGACGGAGTCTAGAACGATGAGTCCAGTGTTCCGTCTCTCAACCTCTACGGGGACTTGAAATTGGAGAATGTGCTCTTGCGACTCAAGGTCGGGTGTTGATGTGCTGAGGATACCGTCCAGAGACGGCTTGTCTTCCGGTGAGAGGTCGGCAAACCGCGGATTAGATGACAGTATTTGCGACAGGCGTTTGGTGGACAGTTGAGCCTCCGTTGTGATGTATATGGCCGGGCGCCCCAGGCCATACGGCGGCGGTAATTGAACAGCCAGTAACAAGGATAGCAGGAATTGCGTTTTTCCAGCGCCACTTTCGCCCGTGATCTCGGTCACATAGCCGGCTGGGATTCCTCCCCCCAAAGCTCGGTCAAGAGAATCGTCTAGAGTGCTGATGGTTGACCATTGATTCTCAAGGTCCGTCAGAGAGCGCTTGAGAAATCGGCTAGCATTTGGCGGCTCCTTGGCAGAGCTGAAGTCGCGGTGGAGGGCATCGACGACGGCGGCGCAAAGTCTTTTGATATCAAGCAAGGGCAGCTGAGTACGCTTTCCTATGTCAACGACATCCTGAGTCAGT